AAATTTACTAACTTTAACTGTATAACTTTTGGGTAGGTTTACTTGTAAGAAACAATATGTAAATATCTAAATAACAGTAGTAATATAAAGTTTAATAGTTACTTAATTAATATACGATACTTGAAAACATTCGGTTGGCCCATTTTCGCAAAATTAATTCCCGAAAATATGCTCTTCTTCAGAGCGTTACGTTAGTCTGGCCTCTCAAGCCCGCGCGCTCCGAACGGCACGCGCTACAGCGCGAGGAGAATACACGCGAGAAAATATTCGCTGGTGCGGGACGGGTCGAGATTTTGCACGCTGAAGCGTCGCGGGGGTCAAAGTGACGCACGCGGGCGCAACGACGCGGCGAACAGCCGCGGCAAGAGAGCTACGACAATACGTACGGGCGCGCGAATAATCGCGGAATTTCGCGGCGCAGCGCGAGGACGGCGAGCTGCCAAAAGTCTTGTATCATCGGCGGCCTGACTCATCGGCAACATAGAGGAGCCGTTTGACGCTCGCCGCACCAGTCATCCCGGGTATTTGGGGATGCTGGGTGGCTCAGGTGGTTGCGTGGCGGCTCAAAATAGCGTCGCTCGCCCGCGCAAAATCGCGTCGATTAGAGTCACGAATAGTGCGCGCCCACCACCTCGTCAAGAGCCACCGGTAATTTTAGAACATTTTGTTGTGCCAGATCAACGTCGTCGGGGCGTGCGTCACTGTCCCTTCGCCGCTGCGCGCATCGGCTTTCGTGCAAAGCCGATCGGACGGATCAGCGCGAACGGATAGTAACGTAATCAGATCGCTTGATGAAGCCGTGAGAATTTTCCAGCCTGGCCGACAAAGTGCGGCTTATTCGTCTCTCTTTAATCTGAGCCGATGTGCACATCAGTTTGCTGCAAATGGCTTGTCATTTGCGTGTTAAACTCTCGTAGAAAGTTTGAGTATTAAGAGAAAGATACACTGAGAAAAAAAGGCTTGATAATTGTAATCACATATAGAGAAATAATTAATACTAATGATGGTCGAAGAAACTATTTGTTTTTTACTATAATTTACTATTTAATTTTACTATAATTAGTTAATGACAATAATCTTATATCTATGCATGTTATCACTATACGTTTTCATGTTAGAACAACAAAAGAGTAGTTAGGGCCATTTAAATTCAAAACTGAATATTTCACTTGAAACAAGAGCTTTAAGTGATCACTATTAATAGTCTTTAAAAAATACTAAGTCAATATTGCTCATTTCATTCGTAAAACTTATTAATTCTGCGAAATTCGATGATTTTAAGATTTTTTACATATAATTACAAAGAAAATATTGTGATGAACGAAGGAAATAAAACAAACTGAATAAACAATGCAAATAAATGTAGCATACGATTAGCATGGAATTCGCGCAAGAAATTGATCGTATAACGAACCGCAATATCGCTTACACTAGGACCCAAGACGACAGCGAGTGAGCACGTGCGATCCAATTTTAAAAATAGAAACTGACTGACTAGATTATGCGTCGCGAGAATTCGAGTGAGGGAATTTTTTTTCCAAATTCCTCCCCTTCCAGCGAGATCTAAAGAGACTGACGCCATAACCGAATTACCCTTTTTTATTTACACACAGCAGAGAACTCAATACACATTCGAAGGCAAACAAAGAGATCTGTAACAGCTCGCCTCGCAGATGCATACTAAAGGATGCGTAACTTCGATTATCGCCGGCTCCGAGTATCATGGAGACGGAGGCAACACGTCCGGTCCGAGCGTGAAGCTTTTTCGACAATTCACGATGTCACGGTGCGCGTCGAAGGCTTTTAAAAATGAAATAACAGCATAATAGAGAGACCCAGGAGGGGAAGGAAGGCGATAGAGAAAAAGGACAGGCAGAAGAGAAGATAGAGGGGAAATGCCAAGAGCGGGACGGAGCGAAAGAGAGACAGAGACTGAGCGGGGGGAAGACAGAGAGAGAGAGAGAGAGAGAGAGAGAGAGAGAGAGGGAGAGACACGACAGCGGGAAAGGAAGAGGGGGAGACGCGCGTGGCAGCGCGTGGTGCCAAATAGGGCATCAGGTGGTTGCGAGACGCCCGCGAGAAAAAGACCGTACGCGCGTGCGCGTATATACGTGACTGCTTGCTAACCGGGCGCACGCACGCGTCCGCACAAATGGCACGCGTCTCTTACCCTCCTGAGAGAGCGCGGTCTGTCTCGTATTGCAGACACGCGCGCTTACAGATGTTAAGAGCCACCGTATCGCCGCGATAAAATGACTTTCTCCTTACGACGATTCGCCATTTGTTGCTGTACAAATGCGTAACTATTCATGAGCGATATTCGGAGGACATACAGATAGACAGAGAGAGAGAGAGAGAGAGAGAGAGAGAGAGAGAGAGAGAAAGAGAAAGAAGGAGAGGGGCTTCGCTCTTCACCGATGGACCACCCGCCAACGATGGCAGGACGAGACGAGGTCTTCTGTCCCACGATCGATCGCTCCACGTCACCCCGTACGATAACTACGTGATCGGACGGAAATCCGCGGAATTTCATTACGACGAGACTCGCGCGCGTTTCCTCTTCGGCGGATCGCGGCGACTCGCTGTGCTCCGCTGGGAACGAGTAAGTTCCTTCTTGAGATTTAGCGCGACTTTGAAACTATTCAGGCGCGATCTCTACTTTGTGAGAGACTTCAATTTATTCTCGCGCTTGACTACTATCGTGTACTATCGACAGATATTGCAACGATCAACAGTGGATTACAGACAATGACGTTCCGACACGTGGCCAACCCTTACGAGTGAGTCGCGTTCGCTTCAGGTTCTGTCGAGGTTGCGCAAGCGCCGAGCATCCGCGATCGATACTGTGATTTCGCCGGTTAATTGAACGGATATTTTCATTACCGTAAAAGATTACGCGAGTTTGACAGCTGCCTGTGACGACGTATCGCTGCATTCTCTCTCTTTCTCTCTCTCGCTCTCCCTCCCCCCGCCCGCGCTCCCTCTCGTTCTGCCGCGGCTTTCCTCCATCCTCCTCCATCGACCATCGTCGTCGCGTGCTCGCGCGTTCTCGAAAGTATCTCGGGGGGGACCACAGTCGCGCGCCTCGAGTCTACGTCACAGAGCTCTACGTCACCAGTGAACGGGGTTGAGGAGCTGACGGAGCAGGAGGAGCTTCTATGGTGGGATACGCTAGCCCACGGAGGGACGATAGGGGAAGGTGGCGGCGCGCGAAGGGCGACTGGGTGGGAGTAGATATGTTCGTAAGCACTGGTTGGCAACTACGACGGCGCGAGAAGCGAAGTCGAGGATCGCTTGGCTCTCTTATATATTATACGTATATACGAATATATATGTGCACATACGATATATGCTGTATGCATATATGTACATATACGTGCTCATGTATGCACACACACATATATATATATATATATATATATATATATATATATATATATATATATATATATATATATATTTATATATATATGTATATAGAGGTACGTATGCATAACATAATATATACATATATATGCGTACACACGTATACGTAAGCGTATATAAATACGCGCATACGTACGAAGACGTATGGCGCACACACGCGTGCGTAGGCAGGGGTCCGCCGGGCGGGGATTGGCTGGCGGTCGACTCGGCGCTTCCAAATATGGGACAGTCTCGGCGGTCCATTCATAAAACTACGGGGCGCGCCGCCGCTCGGCTCAGTTCGTGCGCGACCCCCACGCATCGCGCGTCCTTTAACAATCCCCGTGCACGAGCCAATACCACACTCTCGAGACCACGCACACCTAACCTGACGGCGAAGACGCGCGTTTAAAGAGAGAAAGAGAAAGCGAGTGAAGAGAAAGAGAAAGAGAAAGAGAGAGAGAGAGAGAGAGAAAGACGGTGGAGAAAAGAAAGACAGAGAGAGTGAGATATATAGATGGATGGATAGAGAGAGAAAGAGAAGACAGGGTGGGAGGAAAGAAGAGACAGAGAGAAAGAGGGAGAGAGTTGCCGACGCAACATAAAACGCGCGCGGTCGCGCGCGCGCGCGTGCTCACGCTCGCGCGCCCACGCACACGCTCTCCGATCATACACTGTATTTGCTCTCACTCGCGCACAGATTCGGAGCACGCGTGGATCCGACGCGCGGCGGGCGGCGGTGCGGCCGGACACACGTCTCTCTCGCCCGCACGAATACTTTGCCTCGCTTTCCGACGCGTATTCACATCGGCTCGCTCGGCGCGTCTGTACCCGTCGTCGTCGTCGTCGTTGTCGTCGTCGTCGTCGTCGTCGTGGTGGTGAGGTGAGAAGAGGAGCGGAGGAGAGTGGACTTCCAGCAGCGTAAACCGGCGCGGACACACCGGTCGTCGTCGCATTCCCTCGTCCACGAGGAGACTGCGGCAGCAGGTACACTCGACGCGGGTTGGCGCGCGGAGTCTCTATCACACACGGTCTCGCGTACGGTTCTACGCGCGTAGAGAGCTTCCTGGCACGTACACGGTGGTGGTTGGTGGTGGTGATGGTGATTACTAGTGGTTGGTGGTGGTCCTTACCGCGACGTGGTGTTACCGGCCGCGGCCGGTGGCATCGGACGCGCTGAAAAGGCGGGAAGGAGGACACTTCTTTTCGCCCCCGGTGTATCGGAGCCGGTATTACAGACGATCTAGATAGAAGCAGGAGCGCGCGGCCACGCGACTACGCGCAAGGAAGAGGGGCGACGTCATTCGCATACTTAACCACTACTAATCCTACTTAATCGAGGAGAGAATAGCGCAAGTAAGAGAGGGAGAGACAAAACGACGCGACCTATCGATCGACGGATGGGGGACGATCTTTCGCGAGATCGTCGCCGAGAGATCGCGAGCATTAACGCACTACGCGGGCTTAAACGCGCGCTATTCGCGAGGCCGGGAGGCCGAGGGAGAGAGAGAAAGAGGCTCGATCTCGTGCCGGAGAGTGATCGGGGAACGATCGTATTATAACCATAATAATTACGTTGAACGATACAACCGCAGGCGAGGACACGCAGTGCGGTACCGAGGACTCTGCCGCCGCCCAAGGAGGCGACCCGCTCCAGAGGATGACGATGGACGGCATGGAGGTGGTCGGCTCGCAGCCGCACGCAGCCACCAGCCCGTTTCTGCTTTCCTCGCCACCCCTGGGGCACCACCACCATCATGCCCATGCGACCTTCAACCTGCAGACGGTGCAGCTCAGCTTCGACGCGTGTTTACCGTATAACGCGGCCTCCTCCTCCAGCTCGGTCACCTGCAACATCGGCGGGACACCTGTGAGCGCGACGTGCACGAATTCGTCAACAAACTGCAACAGCAAAACTGTCCCAACGCTCTCTCTGTCGTCGTGCGTGCCGTTGCACGCTCAGCTACAGATCACCCCGACCGATTCCAGTGCGGAGCACAATCACGCCCGGCACCACCACCATCACCACCACCATCATCGGCTGGACGATCATCACCAGCATCACCTGCACGCAAACGCGTCTTCACCGTCCGCCGACGCCGCCGACGGCAAGAGGAACCGGCAGTCCGAGGAGGACGACAAGGGCTGCATTCGAAACTGCAGGAGCGATCTTCACGATACGAACGATAAGGATAAACCCGGCGACCTCAACACGCCGGTCACCACCAGCAGCGACCTACCGTCATTCTTCGGCCCCTCTGCGCTTGTCGAACCGCCACCGATCTCAGGTACCTACCATCAGCTGTCCTTTCAGCCCGATCGGGATCGAGAACGTCGATCTCGCTATTATTTTTCGACGCGCCGATCTTATCGCGCTGCGCTATTTACGATCTCTTGATGACACCTTTGAACTTTTGCGATGTGTTACGTCTAATGACATAATATAAAAAAGATGTGAGAGAGAGAGAGAGAGAGAGAGAGAGAGAGAAAGAAAGAGAAGAAGAGGGAGAAGTGGAGAGGAAAAGAGAGAGAACAGAAGAGAAAGAGGAGAGGTGACGATCCATTATTGTCGCGCGTTTTCGAATTATTCGGCAATGCCGAGGCAATGCGAGAACCCCCGATGCAATTCCTCCGCAAAACGTTCCTCTCGTAATTCCGCGATTTCTAGCGGGATTACGTAGGTGCGAATGCGCGATCCTCTTGAATTCGCGCCGTTTCACTTTCGCCGGTCTTTCGCTTTCTATGCGTTTGCGAGCGTTTCGGCGGCCCCTGATACTTCGTCTTTAAAGCCTGTGCAGCCATTCACGGCGATTTCGGCATCTGAATAACCGGGAATCTGGATGGAACGACGCGCACGGCGAGGCGTCTACGACGAAGAGAGAGAGAGAGAGAGAGAGAGAGAGAGAGAGAGAGAGAGAAAAAGCCCAATGTGGCATCAGTTACGTTTATCGCAACGCTGTTCGCGAAAACATCTAATATCGAAGGCTTGTCCGCCTGTCGCGGATCAATACTCAACGACCCCGACATTCAGAGACCCTCCTCTTCAACCTGCACCACCACCTCTGCCTCCCCACTATCCCCTGGTCGGTTCATTCATGCTTCCAGCTGCCCCCACCTTCTCCACCCTCGGTATCGTAATGACCCTCGCGCGATTACCGTGCGGCTTTCCTGCGCGTTTCCTACGTATTTTTTCTTCCTTTTTTTTCTTCTATTTTCGTCAGAGAAATGTACAATTGCCGATCGGCGTCGGAGCGAATGTTGTCGCGTCGCGGAGAGCGGATTGTGAAGAAGCGCGACTACACGTCGGCTATCGCCGAATATCGTCGAGTCGGTAACGAACGGTAATAAAATACGCGCACCCCGCACTCTTTGTTTTTTCGTCTGTGATCTTAGTGAGAGAACCTCCTTAACGCTGGTCAGCAATTATAAACGAAGAGAAAGGAAATAACAAAAGCGGCAGGATGCAGACAACAGATAGAGTCGCTGCTAGATAAAGTCGCTGCCGTATCGCGCGCGGTTCTTCCTGTTGGCACTCTCAAAGTACGCGTCGCACGACGACGGACAACGATGCAAACGTGACACGTTTTTTATTTACGAAATCGAGACTAAGCGATGATTTCGTTGATGCTTCGCAGGCAGCCTGGCGGGCGAGGACCTCTCTCTGGAGGAGGCTACCGCGGAGGAGGACGAGAGCGGCGCGTCCGCCGGCAGAGATCATCGACACCACCATCATCCGCAGCAGGACGCGCGGAACGCCGTCACGTCGAGCGCACCCTCCTCGAGTAGTCCGCCGTCGCGTCACCATCAAACCCAGGACGAGGCGGATCGCAGTAATGTGCTGCAAAGCGGCGTGATCCTGTACTCGCCGCACTCCACGTCCTCCGTGCCGGCGACGAACGTGAACATCTGCAACGTACCGACATTAACCTATCGCGGTGTCTTCACCACGACCTGCACGCAGTCCTCGCCGTTGGGCAATCTCCAAAGCGAGCAGCAGCAGCAGCAGCAACAGCAGCAGCAACAGCCGACGAGCCAAGAGCTATGGGCTCCGTTAGCCTCGCCGACCTTAACCTTGACAGGTCAGCCGTTCCTTCACCCCAACCTACATTCAGCCGCGTACGGCGGCGAGACCGTCGAGTTATTGCAGGTCGATTCGAAGCCGCCCCCGCCACCCGGTTATCACGACACACCGACCACCACCCCTGCGGCCTGGCTGACGGCACATGAGGAAGCTTACGATCCTGGGCTCCTCTCTCACCATCACTCTCACGCTCACCATCACGAGACCGCGTTGAAGCAAGAGCCGACAGGCACACCCGCTTACACGCCCTGCGTGCAGCAGCCGCAGCAAACGCAAACACAGCAGCAACAGCAGCAGCAACAGCAACAACAACAACAACAACAACAACAACAAGCCCCACCGGCGGCCGGCGGCTCCGCGGGGGTGCAATTGGCGGAATACAACCCAAGCACGTCGAAAGGCCACGAGATTCTCTCGCAGGTCTATCAACAGAGCGCGCTACCCCTCCGGCTGGTGCCAGTGAAGCCGCGAAAGTACCCGAATCGACCGAGCAAAACGCCCGTTCACGAGCGGCCCTACGCCTGTCCAGTGGACGGCTGCGACCGCAGGTTCTCGCGCAGCGACGAGCTCACCCGGCACATTCGCATTCACACCGGGCAGAAGCCGTTCCAGTGCCGCATCTGCATGCGCTCGTTCTCGCGGAGCGACCACTTGACTACCCACGTGCGCACGCACACCGGTGAGAAACCGTTCAGCTGTGATCAGTGCGGCCGAAAGTTCGCCAGGAGCGACGAGAAGAAGCGCCACGCGAAGGTGCACCTCAAGCAGAGGCTGAAGCGCGAGGCGTCCCATGCCAACCCGAGGAGTCATCCGCAGAGCCACGCGTCGTCGCCCTGCAATTAATGAATTCCATGATTACGAAATCCTTCTTCAACGTTGAGATCTCATTACTTTTGTCACGCTCTGACAAATTGTGATCTATGTTATCCATCCATCCCCTCTTCTATCCCTCCCTCTCGTCCCTTTTTCCTCTTCCCGCGATCTATTTCTCCTTCTTGTCACCTTTTGCTCCCCAGTCTTTTCTTCTTTCTTGGCTCGGTCGCTTCCTCTTTCTCTTTCTCTCTCTTTCTCTCTCTCCTTCCTTCGTGATGACCGATGAAGAAACCGCGGAGACCTTTAGGCGGCCAAAACCGTCACCGACTGATCCGTCATTCGTCGTCGTCGGTCCATCAACTGTTTACGCTATCTTAGTACACAGCTGGATGCGAACTAATCATTTTTTCGCATGCAGCGCGGGAGCGCGATAAACAGTTGCTCATTCTGATAATTATCGCGAATCAAAGGCAAAACAAATTGCACATGCCATTTTGGCCGCTCGTGGATTTTGATACGTACGTCGGATGAAACGTGTGAAGAGATGCAGTTCGCTCGCGGTGTTTTTCGCATCGTTGCGAGGAATTAGAGTACTTAAAGCATACCGGATGCCTTGGAAGTGAATTCAACCCGCGACTCGCGTAAATTAATTCGTCCGATTAATTGTCTCTTTCTCTCTTGAAATATAAAAAGAAACGATATACGTCATGGTTACGCTTTATCTCGTAGCTCGTGTCACGGGCTTACATCCGGACACGGGCGAAATGTCAAATCCGCGAGATATTCGTCAGCGTCGTTACACGAATGCCATCGAGCGTTGCAAGAACATTTTCGTGCAATCGTATAACATGAAATCGATACCATCCGCAGCTTCCGGGAATCGTAGAGTGACACAGCGGAGAATGCCGAGAGAGGGAGAGACAGATGGAAGAGAGGGAGAGTTGAGAGGGAGGAAGAGAGAGGAAAGGAGAGAGAAAGAGAGAGAGAGAAGGAGCATTGCGAATCGTTGCATACGAATGACTGCTTGTGTGTGAAAGTGTGCGCGTGTGTGAGGGAAAAAGAGAGAGAAACACAATTGTTTCACAATGCTTCGTGAAACGATATAAAATATTACATCGGCTCGTTGCATCTTGATCGACATCAAGCGGAACTCAATATTTAAATGGTTATTACGTATCCCCTGTCCCTCCCCCTGTGAGCACAATCGAAAAGACTCGTTCGCGGCTCGAGTGTAACCTCTAAAGAGAGAGAGAGAGAGAGAGAGAGAGAGAGAGAGAGAGAGAGAGAGAGAGAAAGTGAAACACAAAGAAAAGGAGAAAAAAAAATCCATGAGGAGCAATATGCTCGCATAGACAGATCTATGCTACGAATGAAAAAGACGGAGGCTGTTGACGAGACTCGCGGCAATGGAAATAGAGATATTTTTTTATGTATATTTGTATATAACTATAATTCACAACGTTAACACACCGAATTACAGAGGACGGTTCGTTCACACATATAAAAGTATTTATTTTTGAAAGAAATATTACGGCATTACGTTAGAGAATATGTAGATGCTAAAGAAAAGAAGTTTCTCTCCGCACCGCGAGAAGTGTGCGCCGAGAAACTTGGTTTCGACAGAGAACAAAAAAAAAAAAGGTAGAAGGAAAGAAAAAAAATTGTTACAAATTTTCCGTACGATGCCAATCCGCCTGGGAGCGGGCGATCTCCGAGAGTTTCCGCGACTTTGCAACGTTCACGCAAGGAATATCGGATTCTGATCTCTTAGCAGCGATCACGCATTGCCTATAGCGTCCCACGTATATGCGTTCGTTCTGTCGTGTCGTACTCTCGTGCTCCGAACACGCTAAATCTCGGCTGTCCCTGCGTGCATGTGCAATGATGTTACGTTTGTCCCCATTGCGTGGATCTTTCCCTATCATTCTTGCCTCTATCTCTGCATTCTAGACAAGATGAGAATTCCACGAAGTAATTGTAATTAAACATGACCACATCGTTGTTGAAAGAGAAATGTTTCACGTGTACATATGTATATAATTTATTACGTATATGAGATCGCTGTATATGTATATGTAAAATCCTATAACGTCGTTATCTTGCCTACACTTCTTTTTCTTTTCTCTCTACTCTTCGCCCTTCGCAATATTATTGGGGGGGCCCCCGGCCCCTCCCTACCCCCTACTCTGCGACCCCTACCCGCGTACGTGTACACATACGATTTAGCGATTGTTAATGTTATGTATATGTTGCTCTATTTATTAACAAGATGACTATATCAAATGAATATATTGTTAAAGTCAAATAATTATTTTTATTATCGTAAAGGACTACTCTGTCGCGTGCAATGCGTTACAAAGGTGACAAAAATTTGGTATCTACGCTTATACAAGTTACACCGTCGCGTGCGCGCATACGCGCGCACACATACACAACATACACACACACACACACACACACACATACATAATCATGTACGCGCGCGCGCGCGCGCGCGTATGTGCACGCACACATTTTTCAAACATATATATATATATAAATAAATAAATAAATATATACATATATATATACATACGTACAAATTGTACGAGCGTATGCGAACGCGATGAGACGCACTACTCATCTACATAAGTTGTAGCGCAAGCGCGGACCCCAGGAGAATACTTTTTTACAAGTAATATTATCCTATCGCTAGAGACAAATTATATGTAATTATTATACATATGGTGCTCCGAGTGCAAATGCACGTAAGAAAAGCTCCCAACTACCTGTATATTCGTGTTGTCATCATCGCTCCTGCATATGCTTCTCTCTGCGGGTAACGATCTTGCAACAATTATTAACAGAAATACAATTAACATTGACTCAAAGTCAAGTGGTTCGATTATTTTCGCAACCCTGCCACATGAGAAAGTCGTATATAGTACAGGCAGTTGAAGAGAAAGAGGATTCCGAGATTCAAAAACATATCTCTCGATCGATATTTGGAGTCGATCTTCCTAATGAATACTTCACAGTATTCCAACTTCAAGCTGAAATTCTGCCAAAGTAAAATTTCGATTTTTTCGTCAGTTAAATTTTAAGCGAAAAGTAAGAGTCTGCTTTATGTTCATCTCTGAAGCTTAATTCACAATAACCTCTGCGTTTTTTCGTTGCAGATAATTCGGAAACTGTCAATATTTCAACATTGTTGTTTGGTTTTGTATTGCTCGAAATATACTTACCGATTTCTTTTTTTCAATAACGTGTTTGTTGTATGCAACGTTTAAACTTCTCTTACTACTGCGATTTCATGTCAAAGAGCCTTTTCCATTCACTCTATTGATTTTCTTTGAGAAGAACGGAGAGGTGAACGATCTTTGGGCCGTGAGTGACATGTAAGGGAAAAAATTTTGGTAGATCGTATTACCAAGAATCAAGCAAAAAATATTCTATTTTCTGTTAATTTTAAGTAGATTTTAGGAAGAGAATGTCTCAAAGCGTAGGTGTCACTAATGATTAAAAAAAAACAACGTTATTTTCTTAGAAAACGAATCCTCATTTCTCAATTTTCAATAAGGAATGCCGTACTGCTCGCCAAATTGATTCGTTACCGCGTCGCGCGATGCAACATTGTCTTACTAAAAAAACAAAAAAAAAAAGAAAAAAATATGAATTACGTTCCTGAAAATGTGGAGAAAGAAAGTTTATTCGCGATCGTCGTGACTGAATGCCGCGATGGCATCAAGCATGCCGTTCAAGCCCCCAGGAAGTTCGCGGCGGGAGCGAACAACAGGCGTTGCGGTACGTCAAAACGCCCGTAAGATGAAACGGCACGCGTTTTCCCGATGCCCGCTCTCCTTCATATAGGTAGAGGATAGTTGGGTAAGGTAAGGGGCACGGGGATCACCGCGGAAAATATCTCGCGCGCGGCATTCGTGTCGGCGACTGTCGTTAACACAGACACCAAGTGCCGCCGCGTTTCGAGTCCACCGCAATCGATCTTTCGCGCTCAAGCGTTTCGCGCCGAGTTTTGGCCAGCTCGTTGGCTGGCTGGCTGGCTGGCTGGCTGGCTCGCCCGTGGAGAATGCGTAATATAGTCACTACATATAGGTATACACGGGCACACCTATATAAGAAAGACAGTACGCGAGCGGCGGGCAGGAGTGAAGCTGAGAGCACATCTATAAATAGGACCGAGAGCGAGATGAGGCCTCCTCTGCACTTCGCGATACCTTCTCTGCTTCTCTCCGTCTCGCTATGAGAAATCCCTCCGAGGAGGAGACGTTTTGTTATTTTCTTTTCTTGCTTTTTTCCTCTCCTTCCTTTTCTTTTTATTTTCCGTTTCGCCTTCCTTTCGTTCTTCCAGTCTCTCGCAACATCGTATCTTTTTCCGAGGGAGTTTCTCTCTCTCTCTCTCTCTCTCTCTCTCTCTCTCTTTCTCTCTCTCTCCCCTTCATACTCTCACATTCTCTCTCTCCGTCTGTCCTCCTCCACGCACGTGCACGCATATTTGCCGTCTTCGTCCTTCCCTCCGCGTTCCTCCTCTTGCTGTTTTATTGTTTTCTTTCTCTTGTAATTCGTCCCGTCTTGTTTTTCGGGTATTCCTCCTTCTCTCTCTCTTTCTTTCTCTCTCATGCGAGACGATAAAGCGTGCCGTTTCTATGACGATCGCCGATGGCGATGGGCACGACGAGGGCAAACGGCGACAGAGAGACAGAAAGGTGGAGGCGAAGAGATGAGGGAAAATAAAAACGATGTGGCACTACCGCGCTACCGCGAGACACATAGGGGGAGAGAGTGTGTGACACACGTAGACACGCTCGACATACGGATACGTATATGGAAACTCTCGAGGCTCGCATACGCAAACGTATTATGTAGAGCCCCGTTTCTATCGGATTACTTCATTCCCGCTTCACCGGTTAATGGCAGACTCCTTAAGCAAATCAGAGACAAAAATTCTGCGGCGGGAGATTAACGTCGAGATGCTAATAGCTCCTTGAGAAAGAGAGTTAGAGATTTGCTAGAAATAAATAACTCTTCTCGCGAATATTAAACTTTGGTGCGCGGACGAATATACTTATCTTCGTTTAATTTCAAATGATTTTCATTAACGATTAAATTTCAATCCGCTGACTTGTATTTAAAAAAATATTTAAAGCTTCGACATAAAATAAGGAAAAAAGAAATTCTCAAAGAAAACAACGAGACGTATTTTAAGGAAAAATGAAAATACATGTAATCTGAATCCATGAAGATTCCATATGTGTGTGTGTGTGTGTGACAAGCCAGGTTGGTACTTATTATATTTGGATTCTTATTACCGGTTATAAAAAGGTGCGAAATTTTACAAATTTTCTGCGACGAGACTCTAAAAAAAAAATGCTATTTGTAATCAACGTGTGGGACGGCGGTGAGAGTTTCAGTCAAATTGGAAAAATCGTGTCGGCGGTATTATCATGGTGCAAAAATACCGGATTAAAAGCGTAGAGAGTTGCGGAGCACGCTGTGTGTCGTTACTCCGCCGCGCCGCAATATCCGCGAAAAGCTGAGGGTTAGGGTCACGTCACGGAGAATGGAAGAGTAGCGACGACGGCGCCACGAGGAACGCGGGGCGGAGGGGTTTCGAGAGAGCGGGGAGAGTTCATTGAGGAACGGCACGTGTACGCGATAGAGAGTGCGGCGGGCTGCGATATGAAGTGGGATAAGGGTGGGAGGAGTACAGTAGCGAGCAGCAGGGCGAAAAGGGGTTGCCAAGCGACCATAACCGCGCGGGTTGCCCTTGGCGACTAGTTGCGTCACTGCAGCGCCGCGTGACGTCACGCGACGCCACTGCCCTTGACCGTCGGGATGACATCGGGGAGAGCGTCCTGGCGACCCTGCCTTGCGGCACCCGCACCCTCCCCCACCTCTCGCTCTGCCGTATTCCCTGACACTGACATAGGATACGCAAGGATAAATCTATATATATGTAGAGAGAGGGAGAGAGAGAGAGGGCGAAAGAGAGAAGAGCAGAGAGAGAGAGAGAGAAAGAGAGAGAGAGAGATAACATTCGCGCATCCCGCGAGACACGCGGCTCACCTTTCGATTTGAACTCTGTGCCGCAACACAACCTCTCGATACGTATCGAGTATCGCGTTGTGTTTTGACACGCGACTTGAAATAACGTCAACGCGCTCTCTCTCTCTCTTTCTCGCGCATATACGCTATTTTCAGAATTACGCGCTTCGATTATTGTTACGGTGGTACATACATAGTGTTGCAAGTTGCGAGAGATGGGGAGAACGGGCGGGCTGGCTCGCAAGCTCGTTGCAAGCTCGGTAATCGATTGACGCGAGTTTATACGTCGTGTGTAATATTTATAGGATGACGCGCGAAGCTTATTTTGCGCAATGGGCTTATTTAATACAATTTCTGCTGTCGATGACGATAGCTGCCCGTTTCCAGCCGTGCTTTTGTCCATCGTCGCTCAGCACACGCGATGTCGATATATCTGTCGTAAAGATCACAAAAAAAAAAAAAACCGCGGTTCTCACGTCAGTTCGGGGATGGTCTTTCGCTCTTTCATTGTACGTCGACGTGTTGTAGCAGTTTTTCCATTGACGTATTCTTGCGCAGACTCCTTATAGTACATGTAAATACTTCATCATCCCGATAAAGCTTTTATCCTGCGCGCGTTGCGAAGAGCTTATGAATTTCATTAAAAAATATTTTATTTATTTATTGTAACGACATAAAACGCGAGAGCCGTTTCACGTTATATTTTACAGACGTTATATTTTATCACGTATATATTTTACAGAATTTAATGAAATCTAAGTATAAAATTATTCCGTTTTTCTGTGATCGCGCTATTCTCTCTCCATCATGCAACTTTAAGCATCGATTGTATGTAAAAGAGATGAACAAAAGAATAAACTTAAATTTATATAATCTAAATTTTTTTAGTACTGATATCTGATATTGATAGTGACGGATATTATGTTAGAAAGGATGCGAATATATCGAGACAAATTCATTAGCTATAATTTTATAACACTAAGAAAAATGCTTGAAAATTTATTAATGAGATATGTATAAAGTTCACTTTAGTGAAATAAGTTGGTTTCTATGAAAAATAAACTTTTATCTCACAAATAAATTTTCGAGTATTTTTTTCTTAGTGTATACGATTGAATATTGAATAATCGGGTGATAAATGCGGAATTAAGTACATAATGTAAATGAAAATTTCACAACTTTAATAAATAATCGTAATAAACTTGAGCAAAACATAAGCAGAACCTCACGACCTCACCGTCTCAAACGTTCAATTACAAAAATGTTTAGTTGAATTAACGTATATTCTTACGTATAATACAAATTCTAAATACAAGGGATTAATCATTATTTTCTTTTTTGCGTAACAATTACGTAATTTGTGACATTGACTGAACACGTCGAGTGCCGTGTGATTAGTACTGTCTGAAACTTAGTTTCTCTTACGAACATCTATATAGTACATACACAACTTTGCGAAGTTATTTGTCGCAGGTGCGGATCGACAGTCGAATAGAAAATTTCCGGGGAATACTTGAGGAATTTTCTGGAGCTCCAAAATACTCTGATAGCCCATCGATAAGGTTCGTACAGACACAGTTCGGTGATATTATAAATTCTCAAAGGATCTTTTATAGATTGAATAGAAAAAGTTACATTTTACATAGATAAAGAGAATAGTAGAACTTGGAAATCTTAAATCGTCCCACGATATCGTAACATGATTTTGCCGAGACACTCAACATAGTGGTTAGCCGGAAATAGGAAGCGTTTGCCTTTCGAGCCACTGAAGTGCTTGAGTATTTTCTGCTCCTTGGAGGAAAGTTCTCAGGATCCCCAGACATCTTGCATGATAATTATTCAAATACTCGATCTGAAACACGAAACGCGTCGTGAGACAATCAGAAGGTCCGCCGAAAAATTCACCGATCACAATACACCGTATAAAAACATGCGTACCTCCTTATTTGTAAGCAACGACACGTCAAGCAGACTCGTCTGAATCGGTACGAGTGTCACGGTCTCAAAAGTTAGGAAACCACGATCCTTATAATTGTAAGGTGTCTTCGCAGGCACGACTAGCTCGATGTTTTCTAGTCTAATGCCAAACTTGCCGTCTTCGTAATAGCCCGGCTCTGTTGTTTGAATACACACACACACACACGTCATATATTTAATCCCTTTCGCTTACAGAAGCGACGTTACATTTATGTATTTTAATTTACCATTCGATAGAAACATGCCGGACTCTAAACCTGGATCATCCGGGTACGGTTTCCATGAGATACCGATCGGCTCCTCGTGGACGTTGAGATACGATCCCACTCCATGGCCGGTGCCGTGAAGATAATTGAGACTGCAATTAATTCAGTTAAGTGCAATGTAAATGCAGTTTGAAACAAAGTGTCTCATCTACAGATTCTGTCTATATTCTCAATACCTGCAAGAATACTTCGAAAGTCAGATGTGAAATCCCTTGTATAAGAATCTCGCACATCTCCTTTTCCTATTTACAAAATTCTTTCTTCGTATCGATTTAGAAAGATACATACCCAACGCTCCATAAACTCTCGCGCGCCAGCGTATCGAGGTAATTTCCTTTCGTTTTTAAGGGGAAGACCATGGTCGAGAGACGGCACTGACCCTTAAACACTCTGGTGAAACATTCGCGTTCGAAGCTCGTGGGCTCACCAAAGTGCAAAGTCCTCGTTACGTCTGTCGTGCCGTCCTTATATTGCGCGCCAGAATCGCAAAGATAAAGTTCTTTATCTGTAATAGGCACGTCAGACGCTGGCGTAGGTGAATAATGAATAATTGCTCCATGAGGACCGACCGACGATATAGTGGTAAAACTTAATCCAACGAAAAGATCTTGCTCCCTTATGAAAGAAACAAACAAATCTCTTGTACTCTAAAACAGTCTACGATCTACCTCGTACGAGAGATGATGGGCGCGTCACGCTCCATCGATTCACTTACTGTCTGAATTTCTCCAGCTGCGTGGCACCCGAGATCTCCGTGATGCGCTCGTCAGTATTCTTGATCTTGTCCTCCAGCCAAGCGAAATATTTGACGAGGGCGACCGAGTCTCTCACATGCGCCGCTTTCATGCCCGCGATCTCGACGGGGTTCTTGATCGATTTCATGATGCTAAGAGGCGTGATGTCCGTGTGCTTCTTCACCTCGCCGCAATCCGCGTGCAGTGCGTAACTCGAATTATTGCTGACCCAAATCTTATCCTGTTCTGTGGCCGAGTACACGATCTCCTCCATAAACAGGTGTATATCTTCGTAAGGATGGAAGATTGGATCGACACCCTCATCCTTCAGTTGTTCCAGTGCTTCTTGGCTAAGTCTACTTTTGTCTATAAAAATATGCACGTCTTTTATGGTGAGGATAACGTACGCGAAGAAGACAGGATTGAAAAGAATGTCAGAGCCTCTCCAGTTGAGCAAGTACGCTATCGAGTCCAGTGCTGTTATCACAAGTACTGTTGCATCGTTCTCCAACATTGCTTCACGGCACAGATTCACCTTGACTCCTGCTTTCTCACCAGAATATTGTATCAGCTGAGGTAAGACTACATTAGCTGTAGGTGCTGGCTGCTGATCAGCCCATACCTTGTCCACTAGGTTCTCTGGAAGAGCGATCAGACTATGTCCAGCTGCAGTCAAGCTGCTGTGCAATCGTGCCCACTCGTTGTAGCTTATCAGATTGGCATCTGCTCCAACTACAGATTTTGGAGGCAGATTAGAGGTCAGCCACATGGCAGTGGTAGGTGTGTCCAGTAAACCCTCTCTCATGAGGGTCCATGCCTCTGGCGGGTCTAATTCTGACAGAGCCTGTGTGAAATATCTCCCATCTGTCCACAACAACGCTGAGTCTGGTGTGACGATTACTGTGCCGTAGGAGCCGCGGAAGCCACTGACAAAACATCGTCTTTCGTCATGTTCGGTCGAGTACTCTGACTGATGCGCGTCCTCGCCGTTGACGATTAAAGCGTGAATACCTTTCTCCTTCATGTCCTCAACCTGGACGTTCTTCATGAGCGCCCGAAGCTGCGTCAGCTTCCACAGCCCGTTCTTCCTTACCATCTTGCGTCGTAAAGAACGTTTATTTATTTATTATTTCGCGCTGGACTACGAGGAAACGTCTTTGGAAATGCAACGAAATCGTGGACGGCTCGTTTCTTACCTTGGAACAGTGCTTATAAAATGCTTCTTTGTTATTGATGACACATCGATCACGAGGAGATAATACAGGTTATCGCTTCTTTTGAACTTCAATTCGGAAAGATTCGAGTGCCAACACGCTATTCCTACGGTAAACTCGTGACATGTATGCCTTTTAACAGATTGGTTATCTTATCTTTGATAAGGAAACAATGATGTCGTCGATTTAATGAATCCTTGTACTGCTTATCGTCTCGAGCACAGATGCACAGGTGCGTTCGAAAAGTTGCACGGTCGACCACGGACGCAAGAATATACAGACGCAGCTTTCGCGTGTAAATACGTGAGGGGCAATAAGGGACCTATTCTGTGGCTCTTAACAACAGTGTTGCTCGTTATGTTATTGTTGTACAGCTTTTCTGTCATATATTATACCTGCACAACAACAACGTAACGATAATGACACTTGTGCTTAAAATTGTAACGTAACAAAAACGTAATTTTGCACGACCAGGCATACTATCTCATGTATGAGATAAATATATGAAATATTTCATAATGAAATAATTAGTAGAGATATTTTTAATTTAGTAAATTAATATTTTATCAGTTTTTTTTACTTTTTCTATATTTTTTTTTTATTTAGTTATTATAACGACTAAATGAATAAGCAATATAAGAAAAAAATAATGTAGATAGAAAAAGGAATAAAAATTTTTATAAGATATTAATTCATTAAATCAAATATTTCTCTTTGAACCTTCTTTTTATTATAAAATATTTGATATACACTTTATATTTGTAAATAATGAGGTGCTTAATCGCGTATAATCATGTTTTTGTTAAAATTTTTTTGTGCATTGACTTAAGTTTACTGTTACATGGACCGACTTCAGTTTACGGTCAGCATTTAACGGAATTTAAAATGGACGTTTTCGTATAGAGGTCCTAAATCAGTAATCATTGATTTCAGCGTAAGAAGACTTTACGGAAATACGCCCATTCGACGCATGAGAAGGCGACTGTTGTTCGACAATGTAAGGAGAGAGCACTGCGTCTTACATGATAATGTTAATTTTTCATATGTTTTCCAAAAAACTTTAAATTAATTACTCTGTCCGTCGGCCGATATATGCTGCCCATATAAATATTGGAATTTATTAAATCCATTTATTGCATTTATTACAATTTAATAGTATCTTCGCGTAGAATCATGTATACAATTCGTAGAAATAAAATAGTTTAAAGAAAAAATAAGCAACCTTGAAGTATTACACCTAATAACATGTCTTCACCTTATAAGTAATTTACATGAAAGAACCAGGCTGTTTATGTGAGAGAGAAAAGGATACATTAAAACAATTCAACAGCCACATTGTTAAAGATACATTGCAATGCACGTACTGTTACGAGATATTTGAAAGCTCTTCCAGTATAGCTTGCGTATCCAAGGTGTTAAGATCTATCGATGTTCTGGTATCCACCACTACCCCACTTACCTAAAAATAATCATACTTAAAACACTGTTCATCTCAGAGAAGACTTCAATGAATTTTAGAGCGCGTACAAATGGTACAGATTCATACAGATAATTACTACAGATTCTATTGAATTACCATTTCCTCGAAGAACGCAGTATGATTAGGCTTTTCCGAGTATCTCTCGTACTGGTCCAGATTATCTTGCAGCTTTAAGGTAAGACTGTCATAATTCTGTATTATAATTGACAGAATTTGTTGTTCTGTCGGCGTCGACAAGCTTTCTTTTGTCAGCCATGCCGTTATCTTTGGTGGGAAATGATTAACAATATCCCTCACGTTTACGAGAGAATTTGTTAACTTAAGCGCGTGTTCCTTGTGCTCGTACGATTCGCTAGTTGAATATCTAAGTGCTAAAGATAGATCTTCTCATTATACGATATCACTATAAATCTCACATATTTTTGCAGTTTTGTTATACCAAATAAGTTTCTCATTATCGTTAGCTACTCACCCATAGCGTTCAAATTAGTGAAGATAAGCCTCATACGAATAATCTCATAAAACAGTTCGTCGTAACTGCTAGGCGATGATAGGAATGTATCACCATACGTGATGAATAAATTTAAAATGTTTACTACCTGTTGAAGTAACGTGAATGTTATGCCATCCTATCGTGCAATTATATAATCTCTTAAGCGTCTCTCTACCTGAATAGCTAAAGGGAATATATTCATTTTCTTAATGAGGTGGCTCTCGTGTGTCGTTAAAAATTTCAGAAGATTGATCAACGCCGTCCAAAGATCTCGCCATTGATAGCCAAGTCTGACGCGGCATCTTTTCTGATAGCACAACAGTCTTTGAAGAACGCCGATGCATTGATGATACAACTCGAGTGGAAACTTCTTCATCATATGCGACGTTACGAATTCGACCAATAGATCTGCAATCACATTTTCGTAAAATCTACGAAATATCGGAAGCTCGATTAATAAAGATCGTTTAAATGTAAAACATAACGTCCTATATGTTCGTACATAGAGTATATTATATAAGCTAAAAATTATATATATATATATATACTGAAAAAATACCAAGTAATGTCGCTGCAAGTGGTTGCGCAGGTGCTGCTTTGTCTTGCAATTTTCTGTGATGCATGGGCACTCTGTGTAATTGAACCCTGAATGCCAGGTTCGCATCATGCATCAAGCTGTTCGCGTATTGGTCCTCTGCAATACAGCTTAATATCAGAAAACACAACTTCACGTTGTTCATTATGGCTTCTGTTCTGATAACTTGCATAACTATTGAACTGGAATGCAAGAAGATGTCTTACAATGTGCTGTATATAACAAATTTAATATATATATTATATGTGTATGCATTCTAACGAATTTGTTGAATTTGCTCACCAATATTGTAAGAAGGTCGCCAGTAAATTGAACGGCTGAGCCATTACATCGGGCGGTGGAGCACCAGGAGCCACCGCGTTTGGGCCCAAGGTATTATTTGGCGATGGAGGCGCGCTGGTATCACTTTGTGTATAGGCCAGTGTAGTAACAAAATTACGATTCAAGTGTGTAGCCTCGTACAGAGCTAAAAGCAAAGCGTTATTCGCGCGAACTTGTTGCGTTTTTGCTTCCTCCTCGCCAACGAACATGCTACCAACTATACTAGTTAGCGAGGACAACCAAGATGCTTGTATTTCTGGAAATACATTACGTATTATTGCATTTTGACGTTTGTATTGCATTATACATCATAATATTATTATATGCATTGCACATTGTAATGTTAATATTCTAGAAATCATGTTATAAATTTCAATTTGTTTGTGATGAAACATTAAATCAGACTCATCTTTAAATGTCTTACTAATGCGACGATTGTTTAAGGAGATAGTGTTATTATCCTATTATTATAAACTATATATAATATTATATATTACAATACCTGCCCTCTGTTGAGCGAATTGTCGACAAAATTCCGTCAACGAGCTTGATATTGCCTGTCCATATCCATTAAGAGCCAATTCATCATCCAAAATTGATAATTTAACAATATAAGGATTTGCGCTTTCGTATTTCCTGTAGTTGACTAGAAGCGTTAATAACAAAACTGCATCATGGCCATGGCGATTTCTAGCAGCTGTATCTCTCAACAACTATGCCGTGTGATGAAATAAATCACTATTAGAGTTAGTTTGAACATGGTCTTAAGAGTTTTATATGTAAATATAGGAGAGCAGTAACTTAGGAATAAACATCCAACGTACTTGGATCAGAGACTCGAAGACACTGTTTAGCATTACATATTCTAATAAAGTATTTTGGCTGACATTGTCCATACCAGTAACTATTATTAACAATAATTTCAGGCACAAAGCTTTTAAACTATCTGGATATTCACCTAAAAAAAAGCATTTTCTCGTTTAAGTAACCAAAATTCCGACTTATATTTTATTTCAAATTTTTATGTAATTATGTGTTAATTATATTTTTTTACCTGTTAGAAAATTATTACAATGCTGCATTAATGTTGTCATTCTTTGTTCTGCAGAATCAAATCCTACTAAAATATCTATTAAATTAAATCCATAATCTCCCTGATTAGCTTTCTTGTACATAGATTGAATAACTGCTGCTAATGTTTGCAGGGCATATACTATTCTAAATGGATGTTCGTCAACTAATGTGTCAACGCAGTGACATACTAGTGCATTCAAGTTTTCTTTACTAGCATTTAGTTGTTCTGATGTCATATGTAAAATCTCACTCTCAATATGAGGAACCTGTAAAATTGTATAATATTTGGTTCTCCCCATTTATATAGAAAATAGAGTCTAAATAGAATTTTCTATAAAAATGCAAACTTGATATGCAAACTTATACACACATATATAGAAATATTTTGTATATTATATTTCTATATGTGTTTATATTTTACATATAGATAATATGATAAATGTACTATATAAGTAATATAAGTAATATAATTTCATACCATAGGTTTAATGAGGAATAGCTCATTCCAGAAATTTGGATGAGCTAGTGTTAAGTCTTCACCTTTAAAAAAACTTTCATAGATAGGTACTAATTTACATTTGTGCTGACGTTTGGCACCAGAACCACTTCTTTTTCGCATAGCCATTGGTATTATGTATATTATTCCCTGTTGTACATGTTTAAAATCTGAAAATACAATAACATTTAAAAACAATTTTTCCTCATTTATATATAAATCCACAAATGCAAAACATGAATATAATATTAGGTATTACATAAATTTTATTGTCATTTATTGGTGCATATAACATTTTAGAGACAAGCAGAAACTTTAGTATAATTCTGCAGATAATGATTATTAATTTAAATAAAATTGTTTATTTCTATATATTTTCGTAATTAAAATAAGAAAATTAGGATTCTTATTTTAACTATATATAATTGTCATAATACACAATGTGAGACAGATTTCTAAGACACGATTTTTAAGGTTTAATTATACACATTGAGGTATAATACATTAATATAACTGTATATATAAAACTTAATAATATAATTACGTAATTATATTATTATATATAATTATATAAACAGATTTTCGTCAAACACAACCAGACAGATGACAGGCTTACTAACCTTAAAGATGTGATTAGTTTATTATGTTTTTTGAAATATCAGTCAAAGATTTTTATAATTATATTCTTATTCTAAACACTAAATATGTATGTAGTTAAGATTTTATTAAAATTAGTATGTTAATTTTCTGCACAACTACCGCAATATTAAAAAAATAAATATTTTAAGGTTAAGTTAGTTTTACATCTCACGTAACATACCTGCCCTGCTCTTCAAATCACATTATACAGGTTTGTCCTTTTTAATCATAGATGTCTATACTAAACTAGATTGTGTGGCAATGTCCCAAGCTTCTTCGATTTGGAAACACCCTAGCGACAGTTGCCGATAGTGGCGGCCTAGTAGTGAAAAGCTGGGAGTCGATTCTGTATCTCGAAACGAAGTGAAAATTACAAAAGTGAGCAAATAGGGAGCGGTGCACTTGGACACGGTGCATTTGGACACAGCCAATCACAGCACCGTGTGATTAGAGACATTTGTAGGGTCCCTTGGAACAACGACTTGTGATTGGACTGTGTCCAATTGCCCCGTGTCCAACTGATATACACCCTGCCCTAATAACGTCAAGACGCTGAAATCTGAACGGTTTAGATTTATGCGCAAAGGTGCTGCGCACGGGTTTAACGCTCGACGCTTGCATATATGGTACCTTAACGTTCATGGTATTGTATGAAAAGTAAAGTAAAACGTATTATATAGTTATTGTCAAATAGTAGTGTGAGATTTATTAATCAAAATCTTAAAAATTGGTGGTAAAACGGTCACAACTGGTGACTCCGACGTGATCGGGAAGAACAATAAGTTATTAAGATATCTCAAAAATGCCATTAGAACACACGCTTTCAAGAACCCGGCAACAGGAGAGTGAGCCTAATGCCGATACACACGAACAATGTGACCAATCAATGGAACTAGAATCTGTTGGAATGACTAATCCTACTGTAGGACAATTATCATTGTATACAACTGCATTGCAGTTACCGTCTTTTTGTAAAGAGAACCCAGCCATATGGTTCCAACAAGCAGAGATGGCCTTCGCCTTACACAGGATAACTTCGGATGAGAAGAAATTCAGATATATTGCTTTACATTTAGATAATACTACACTTCCTTTTGTCATAGACCTACTCAGTTCGCCACCAGCACAAGAGAGATACGAGGCAATTAAGAATCGCATTTTGGCTTCATTTGGTGGAACTCAAGAGTCAAAACTCAGAAAACTGGATGGATTTAAGATGGGTGATGAAAAGCCGTCTAATTTCCTTCATCGCCTACGAAATTTGGCCAGCGGACAATGTACTGACACTGTGCTGTGGACATTATTTATGAAGAAACTACCTAAAAATATCCGTGCAGCTCTAATAATCAGTTCTAGTTATCCAATTCGCGACCTGGATAAGCTAGCTACTCAGGCGGACAAGATTCACGAGATAATAAAACAACATCATTCGGTAGCAGTCGCTACAAATACTAGTTCGGAAGCCTCCCCGCCAAGAAACCAACAGATCGGGAAGTTAAGAGCCATGATTGAATCGCTATTTCGAGATGTATGGAAAGGACGTCCTTGTAATAGATCTCGCACAAACTACCAGCTAGAGACGTCGTCACAATTGCTAATTAAGGGTGCGTTCGTCTTGGTCATGTACACTTTTTCGCTTATAGCGTTAACTTTTACATACAACATTTTCGTTCGTTCGTCTTGGTCATGGACATGAAGGATGGAACATGGTTCTGATAGGGGTGGCAATGGTAGGGAGGAGGAATAGAGCGTCGGCCATATTTACATGGACTACTAGTGGTGCCACCTATCGATGCTTGTCATAATCATTTGATAATACAGAGAAGCATTTATACATAAAAATGAGAAAAAATATGTACGCATAAAAATTTACTGTCCTTAAAATAATATTAATTTTTTAAGTAAATGTCTTTGTGTAACAACAATATTTTTTTGTTTTACAGTAAAAAAAAGTAACGAGTGTTAATATATTTTATAATTACACTTTTCATTAAATGTGGTCGGTGACATGTTAAAAAACTGGTCATTATAATAATTTATTAAATTCGCAATAAATTTATACAATGCACAATTTTGTACACAACTTGCGTAAATATTTGTTACATGTGTTGTAATCATGGATATAGAAATATAAGGATAGAGCGTAAGCTGAGTTTATAGGCAAGGAGGGTGAAGCCGATTTGAGGGACGAGGTATTTCTAAAACTGTGCCTGAATTTGATTGGTTGAATTGTACTCATGCGCAGTACTGCCAATTATAAACGAAGTATTAAGAACATGAACATATAATTCAGAATAATATGTGAAAAATTAACAACATAGTGAGTAGGAGGCGATTCTATGCAAAAATAGGTAAAAAGAAGTATAACATTTTTTTATTGCAACTTCGTTTTCGAGAAAATCGAGGTTAAAGATTTGTCGAGAAAAGATCTTATTCTTGGCAATGCATTCTGCTTAATTGTACATATAGAGCTACTGTTAGTAAATGATTTTTCGTTAAAATGCAGAGAGCAAATGTGTGATGAATTCGATATTGATTTAATATGTAATATATCAAGCCAACATTTACAAAGCATATCATCTTTTGAAATATTGTGAATCCATCGGCTGTAGAACATATAACTTTAAAAACAGCGCTATAACCTTAGGATTGTTATGTTACCTTAGGATTACCTCAGGATTTCCTGTATCTCATCACAACAGTAGCATAATATATTAAATGGAACAAAGCAAGCCAAGGCTGAAGCTTATTGATTCGTTAAAATCTAATCTTTAATTGTCGATCGTCAATCACCAATCGCTTATTTGGCCTTTACAGGCAGCATAAGGCGACTAGTAATATAGTAGTAGAAAAGAAAAAAGAGGCGAATGCTCGGTCTACACTTACTATGGGTGTGTTACAACCATAGATATAGGAATATAAGGATGGAATATAACTCCGGAGGGGGAAGCCACAGAGAGAGGGGGACGAGGTAAAAACTGTGCCTGATTACATATATGTCAAAACCCTCTCCTCACCATTGCTTCATACCCCGCACCCAAAGTAGATGTTATTGTCTTATAGCATGTTCGACTGGCTCTAAGTTAATCCACTCTGGGTTATTCAGCCTACGTTTATTGATCAAACAAATATTTATAAGCTTTATGATTGGCTAGTAGAGACTTATGACGTCATTAATCGCTCTCGGAGCGATTAGGGTGCCGTCCCATTGAGCACGGATCGGAACGCCGGATCGGATTTCTTACTATAATGAGCGTTCCGTTCTCTAGTTCCGTTCCGTAAAAGTTTCCTCTACCAGTCCCATGTAGCAAAAACGGAACGGATTTCTAGTTATAAAATATATTTCACTCTTCAATTAAATATTTCAGAATATTCATGACAATGTTATCGGCAAGATAATTGCATAAATTATGTATATAATTAATTCTGTCGCGTCAAAATAACGAAATATTGACGAATTAATCATATTTATTTGCGACCGACGCGCCATTCCGTTCCGTTTTTGCTACATGGGACTGGTAGAGGAAACTTTTACGGAACGGAACTAGAGAACGGAACGCTCATTATAGTAAGAAATCCGATCCGACGTTCCGATCCGTGCTCAATGGAACGGCACCCTTGATCCAGGGCCAGTCGAACATGCTATTACTTTACGACGAATAAAATGGAACGATTGATTGGTCCGCGAAGAACAACCGATAAGTGGGAACGCACCCTTATGGCTCCTGCACATAGGACGCGGTAATGCTTGCCGCGCGACGGAAGTTCGCGCGACAGCCAATCAATATGCTGCTTTCCTTAATAGCTTCTAGCTTTCCTTCTAACTCGTACGGAAAAACAACATATTGATTGGCTGTCGCGCGGACTTCTGCCGCGCGGCAAGCATTACCGCGTCCTGTGTGCAGGAGTCATTAGGCTCGGTTTCAACGCGAGTTAATCAAATTAAATTGTCCAATCGCTTGGATCAGTTTAGCAATTGGACAATACCGTTGAATCAATTAACCGATTTGATTACCTTGTTAGTAAAACCGGGAATTAGATATTTTATACATGGATATTATGTTTTTTATATATTTTATGTAATATACATATATATTATCTCGATTATGGCCAAATTGAGATCTTTTCATATTAGAGCGAGTCCACATCTTGTGGAGAAAAATATTATTGCTGATGCGGGTTGTGAATGCGGGGCCTTACTGAGGAGCTTGAGACATATTCTTTTTGAATGCTCCCTTCATTCGGATGATAGCAGTTTACTGATTTCAGAGTTATATAAACTGGGATATACACAGCGTGAAAATTTTCATGCTTTAGCTTTTGACGTTAAAAACATAAGACTGTTCAGAATTCTGGCGAAATTCTCTAGAAGGATTGGATATTCCATTTAATGTTGGTACTACTTACCAGAGTTCACATACGATGGAAGCATTGGTCGGAGCAATGGCGTAGGGCAGCTTTTGGTTGCGTTCTATTTCATGCATTATGCGCGCATTGCCTACAATATACGTAACATGAACTATAGATAAATGCGCGCATATGCGTGAAACGGAACGCAGTCTTTGTTTGAGCGAGCTTAGCGGGTGTATATCAGTTGGACATGGGGCAATTGGACACAGTCCAATCACAAGTCGCTGTTCCAAGGGACCCTACAAATGTCTCTAATCACACGGTGCTGTGATTGGCTGTGTCCAAATGCACCGTGTCCAAGTGCACCGCTCCCGAGCTCTCAGCTACGTATCGAAGTCTGAAGCCTGAAGCATGTTTTGTAATTTTAAATATTTTTGTCACTTTGTTTATTAAAAAGTGCGCTTAAATTTTTTCAATATGAAAGTTAAACTTTTAACTAGAAATCCTGACGAATACCTACGAGAGACTAAACGAGATATTCATAAAAGTAAGTCAATTTATAAAGCTAATACTAATCTATATTGTGTGTATACATTTTTAGTGTGGAATATATTTTCACTCTGTTATATTATAGTTATTCAAAGTAAACGAAAACTTAAACAAGTTTATCTAATTTTAATATACATATCTTTTTATTGATGTAAAGAATGGGATATATTTGATGAATTTTTTGAACTTTTATTATTTATAACCTATGCTATGTAGAAGTTTTTAATATATTAACATATTTGTTTATTTGATAACTGATTTAATTCGTGAGTAAACATTACATTGCTTTTTCAGTTCCCAGAAACTATGATCCATCTTTACATCCATTTGAAGCTGCACGAGAATATACGAGAGCATTGAACGCTGTTAAACTAGACAAGATATTTGCCAAACCATTTCTTAAAAATTTAGAAGGCCATAGGGATTCCATATCCTGCATATGTAAACATCCTTCTCAATTGTCTGTTTTTTTAAGTGGTGCTTATGACGGTGAAGTAAGAATATGGAATCTTATTTTGGGAAAGTCTACACGTTCGTTTCTGGCTCACGATGGTGTGCTTCGTGGTATTACTTATATACCAGATGGGGAACATTTTATCACTATTGGTGACGACAAAACTATTAAAACATGGAGTGCTGCTAAAGAAGAAGATGAACCTTTGAATACCATTATCAGTAAAGTATGTAATACTTATATATAAATGAAGTCTTGAATATATAAACTCATTTTAAGAAAATGTTTATTTATAGACAGTACTTACTGGTATAACTCACCATCGAAATAAGCCTATATTTGCCACTTGTGGAGAAAAGTGTCACATTTGGGAGGAAACTCGTAATGAGCCAGTTCGCACGTTTGAATGGGGTGTAGATAGTTTATATGATGTGAAATTTAATCCCATACAGAATAATCTCTTAGGTATGATGTGTATACAACTTAGATACAAAATTTAATGTGATCTTCTTAGTTTGTTATTGGTAATTTTTTAGATGTGAAATCTCTTATAAAGTTACAGATGAATTTTGTTTATTGTACTTGCATATAATTGGAGGTGAAGTGTAATTGGGTAAAATGGACACATAATTACATTGCTTTTTTGCAGCTGCTTGTACAAGTGAACGAAGAATAATTTTATACGACACTAGAGACGTGGGTCCACTGACAAGGATAACAATGAAATTACGTAGTAACAAGCTTGCTTGGAATCCCATGGAATCTATGACCTTCACGTGTGCTAATGAAGATTACAAGTAAGGCAACAGCAATGATAGCTGCTTATTATTTTTAATGGGAAAATTAAATCTATTTCTTTTAGTTTATACACCTATGATATCCGGAAATGGCAAACACCAGTTAATGTACATATGGATCACGTAGAAGCTGTGATAGACGTTGATTATTCTCCAACTGGAAAAGAATTCGTTTCGGGTAGTTACGACAAATCGATTCGTATCTTTGAGGTTAACAAGGGCCACTCGCGAGAGGTATATCACACAAAGCGTATGCAAAGGCTTACGTGTGTAGGATGGTCACTTGATAACAAGTACATAATTAGTGGCAGTGACGAAATGAATCTTCGTTTATGGAAAGCTAAGGCATCGGAAAAACTCGGTGTCGTAAGTAATACAATCTTGATATTTGTAGATTCACATGCAATTTGAGATAAGTTATTAATCATCACTGTATACGTTAGCGATATGCAAAGTATAACTGAAATAAGTGGCTAAACATTAGAAATGTATTTTTATATAGTACAGTATATACTAACAATATATCAATCGTATGTTACAGATTAAAAGCAGAGAGAAATTATCATTGCGTTACAACGAAGCACTGAAGGAGAAATACGCGGCTCATCCACAGATTCGACGAATCGCACGTCACAGACAAGTACCAAAACATGTGTACAACGCGCAAGCTGAATTGCGAAAAATACGTGAGAAAAATAAACGCAAGTAAGTACAGCTTTGTGTAAAAAATTTTTATATTTTATTAATTATTTGAGCGGCACATCTTAGTAAGGAAATTTTATCTTTTAGGGAGGCTAATAGGCGTTATCATTCCAAAAAAGGAACCGTACCGTTTGTATCGGAAAGAGAAGCGCACGTTGTTGACCATGATTAAAATATGTTCTCATATTGTTATACAATACTTAATATAATGAAAAAAGTTATTTTCTTGATGTTTTTTTCTATTTAGTCCTTTATACACTCAATAAATCATTGTGCTTTAATTTCGTTTGATTTCATGCAAGATATTCTTTATAATATATTTATTATAATATAAGGAAATATTTTCTTTTGATAACACTCGTAAAATTATATAATTTTTATATATATGATACACAAAATGTCTTTTATACTGTTTGTTTTTGATAACGATGAATTTGAATTTAATTCTAATTCTTTCCTTCACCACACGAGGTCTCCAAGATCAAACGGAAATCTGGGTTGCAACTCTTGTCAACTTTTTATTATAGGAATAACCTCTTGTTGATTTTGTGAGCGCTGTACTTCCGGTTTAGATACCGTAGCATGTACACCGCTGTACAGCTACACATTTTAAAACGACATTATTGTCTAAAGATTTAAACAAGTTTTTAAGAATGACAAGTAAAACGATTGTTAACTTGGCTAGAATGTCCAAGCTGTTTCAACCTTTACCAGGCGGAATACTTCATGAAAGCAAGACAGAAATTTTATCGAAAAGTTATAAGGTATATAATTTGATTCTGATATATCATCAACTAGACATTTTTTAAAAATTAAAATTTTAATAGAGATAACTATTATCGGTAAAATCTGATTTTACTTTGTAAGACTTAATTATATTCTTATGTATGTATGTATAACTATTCGTGAATATTTATTTTTAATTTTAGTTAATGACTAATTATGGGATTATTAAACCAGTTAGCACTGGTATGTACTCGTACCTGCCATTGGGAGTTCGAGTCTTGAATAAGTTAATCAATATCATTGATAAAGAAATGGCAAATCTCGGTGCAGAAAAAATAATGTTACCAGCGTTAACTTCCACTAAATTATGGAAGAAGACTAATAGATATGATTCTAACAAAACGGAACTGTTTGTACTTACCGATAGACATGGCAAAGAATATATGTTAAGTCCAGTAAGTAAAAAATATAATATAATATTTCGTCTAGATCATAGTTGTTTTAATTAAAAATTTCTTGAAATAAAATGTATTGTGTTTTTATTGTTGTAGTTGTGATATATAATTCAAAGTAAAACACAAGATCCTTGTGTATTATATTATAAAAGTTATAACAGAAGTTATAACAGATAATAAAGACTGGGAGGACCTTTAAGAAACAAAAGCTACATGCAGTAAGTGAATTACTATTAAGTTAAAATATTTTTTATATTAGATTTTGTTTTAAATAAAATTAATGATAAGTTCAGAAAAGAAAAAGATTAAGAGAGAGAAACTTCTTTGTAGATAAAAAAAATTATGTTCAGTTATAATAAAAATTACCTCATAATAAATATATATAATAATATAATTAATTATAAATAACAAGTATGACAAACTTGATATAATATATGTACTATACAAACAGCTTTGATCTAGACAGATATAATATATAACATTCTATTTATATTAGTATAAAAATATAACTTCAAGTATTCTTCTACGTTATAGACATATGAAGAAGTAATCTGTGACTTGGTATCCTCAAGACCTATTTCTGATAAATCACTACCTTTGAGATTATATCAAATTTCTAACAAGTGGCGAGATGAAATGAAACCACGGCATGGCTTTCTGCGTAGCAGAGAATTTATGATGAAGGATTTATACACATTTGATACTACTTTAGATAATGCAAAAAATACATATGATGCAGTTTGTGATTCTTATGATAACATTTTTAAGCAGATTGATATAGATCATGTAAGAGGTAATTATAATTTTTTATTTTATATTGGTCTATACTGTTTATGAAGATTCACAAATATGTGTAATCATAAAATAACAAGTTAATTTTATACACGTACATTATATAAAGAATATTAGCTAGCTATTACAGTTATTAAAAATCTAATTTGTTTACGCCACTTTCAATATAGTCGTAGGTGATGTTGGGACAATCGGAGGTTTATTATCACATGAATATCATTATATATCTGATATTGGCGAAGATATTATACTTCGATGTCCTTCATGCAATTACATTATTAATGGAATTATTTCCAAGACAACTTGTCCCGAATGTAAAAATGAATTGCACAAGCATAATTCTGCGGAGGTAAAACAAATAAAAAAAAAATTTTTCGAGAGATTATATCTGCTATTCTTCCAATTTATTTGAAATAAAAACAAAAAATGCAACCGAATTTTAAAATATTACAATTTTGTAATCAGATATTTTTTATAAATTATATTATAGAAGTTTTTATAATATTAAAAACTATATATTATAGATTATAGTAAGAGAAATACATTTAAATGTGTGAAAATAATGATTGCAGATAGGACATACATTTTTATTAGATACAAAGTATTCGCAACCATTGAAAGCAGTGTATTATACAAAGGATAATAAAGTACAACCTATGGCAATGGGTTGTTTCGGCCTAGGACTAAGCCGTATTTTAGCGTTAGTTGTCGAAATTTTATCAACAAATGATGAGATAAGGTGGCCTGTGAAGTTAGCGCCATATACAGCATGCATCATACCTCCAAAGGTGATAACGCGATAATTGCAATAAGTATGATTTTAATATCTGTTAAAGAATATATATATATATATATATATATATATATATATATATATATATATATATATATATATTGTTATATCAAATTTTGATCTATAGACTGGAAGTAAAGAAGAACATACCTCTACCTATGTTGAGCAACTGTTCGAGATTCTCCACAAACGCAATATCGACACAATATTGGATGATCAAACACAGTCCACAATCGGTAAACGATTTGTATTTGCGCGTGCAATAGGCTATCCTTACATAATTGTTATTGGCAAAGCGGCAACTCAGTCAGTTCCTTTATTCGAAGTTCATGACTTGAATAATTCAATTTGTCAAGAATTATCATTGGAACAGATAAATCACTATTTCGACAATGTAATTTTGTAAAATTAAGCAAGAATATATATATATAGCATATATATTTAGAAAGTGAGAAAACCAAATATTAACGATTATTGTATATTATGTGTTTGATGATATTTACAGCAAATATGACACTATACATGTTTGTAAATATAATAATTTTCTTCGTGTGTGTGTGTGTGTGTGTGTGTATACATGTACAAAATGTCTTAGCAAGTTAATTTTTAAAAACTGATGCACAATGTAGTGCCTCTTAACAGAAATATTCGTTATCTATGAAGCTTTTCAAAATAAATGGAAAATTTGCATTATTTGGGAGGACTTCACGATAAGCTATATTTTCCTTTCATGAAACATTCTTTCACATTTACTGTTTTACACTTTATATCAAATCTTTTAAGTAAACAATATTAAGGATTCTTCATCGACATATTTATTTATAGAAATTGATATACACGCACACACACACATACACACTCGCATGCGTATTAATTCGCGCTTAATCAGCAATATCCGGACATTCCTATCATCACTAATCGTCAACTTCCGCATTAGGAAATGATACATCCATTTCCTTGATACCGCATCTTACTGTTTTTTGACATAGTAAAACCAGGACAGCACTGGTCTTGCTGCATCAGCAATTGGGAATTGCTGAATGCAGCGCATTCGCTGTTATCGCCGATGTTTTCTTTCGGTATCTGCAAATCCAGAGACGGATTCGTCTCGTCCTCGCAATGCTCCGAGGATACAGACGAGGATGAGGATGAGTTAGGATTGATTCTCACTTCTGGTTTCACATGTACCGCGGCGGATTGATTGTCTGAACGTGCAGACAAACTGTTTCTATGCTGACGGAAGTGCTCTTCTGTGTCATTCAGAAGTGAACTAAACATATCTGATGCGCTCGTGACACCCACCGCGCCCATAGAATTCGATCGACATTCTGTAATTGCGTATATTCATTAAATTATATAATTTTAGAAACAGCGATAAATAGTAAGAACGATAAGTAGTGACAGTGCCACACAAATAAAGGGTAATTTATTAAAGAACTATTGTTATAAAGAATTATTTCAAAGATTCCTTTCAATAAAAATATAACTATATATTTCAGTTAATCGGATAAGTCACGGAAAAAGGAAGAAGACAGAATGGGAAGGAGAGAAAGAGAAATAATTTTACCTCTAATTTCCACGTTCTTCGTCGGTGAGTTCGCGACCGACCGCCGTGCAACATCCTGGAAGGTGATGGGAGAATATATCTTTCTCTCCTCGGGAAAGATTCCTGAAGGTCCCGGTGGCGTCGGAGACAATATCTTTGACGAACGTCTTGACAAGATGTCGCTGCAGATTGGCTTGTCGAACATGCCCGGACTTATAAGACCTATCGCGCCCACCGAGGAAACTCTTTTCTCAATCCTATGCCACTGACATGGCTCCTGTATAGTGATCCCTTTAGTCGTGACGGAACGACGTTCTCGCTTTTCTAACCAGTAGGTTTTCATCGTACCTGCAAAATTCCAACATTTTCGAATAAACTGCTGAGTTATGTAAGTAACTAGCAATGTCGGCAATATTGTTAGTAAAATATTAGATTGGTGCAAAAAATTTGTTATTTTTTCCTTATTACATTCTCGTAGGAAATTTGGGAAGGAAAAGGAAAATATAGGAAGTCTTCATTAGATGTTTAAAAAAATATTGAGTTAATGTTGTCTATTTTATTCGTAATAATTATTGATCCTTTGAGATTGGATCATTCCGCCCTCTATTTTATTTGACAAATAAGACAAACCTTTTGCACTAATCTATTATTATAATAATAATTGTCTTTACATTTCAGGAATGCTGCTGCCACCAAAATCCCGAATAGTCTTACCTTTTCCCTTCACCTCGATCTCTCCGCGCTCATTGACCTTATACATGGGCGACAACAATTCGCGGGTGGATTGGGATATGTGTATCTGCATGGCCTGGCTGGTCGCTTCCATGCGGGACGCGGTGTTGACGGAATCGCCGAACAGGCAATACCGTGGCATCTTCAAGCCGACAATACCGGCCACAACCGCACCGCTGTGAATACCAACGCGTATCTGTAGGTGATTACCTGAGAACAATTTTCCCGAACAAATTTCAGTCAAATAGATCCAGTCAAGTCAAGTAGAATCACAAATATTCTACAAATATCACGTGTCATGCGAGACGTACCCGTCGAGCGATCTTTGAGATCGGTTATCGCTTCAACCATATCGAGTGCCATATCGCACACACGATCCGCGTGGTCATTTTCTTTTACTGGCGCACCAGACACTACCATGTAAGCATCGCCGATGGTTTCAACCTTGAATAAAAAAAATATCGTAATTCATTATAAAGTCATCATCTCGCAATATCGTGGTTGTAAAATTATTTTAACATTCGTTATCAAATTCATGGACCGTGCATCTTGAGACCGAAACTAATATCGCGAACAAGTTACGAAGTTGTAAACGGCACTTTCCAAGAGATCACAATTAACGTGTTTTCCTGGTACCTACAACTAGAGAATACCTTGTACACTCGGTTCCTCTCGGTCAAAGTGTCGAACAGCGAGTACATGGCATTCAGCATAGACACGACCTCCATCGGTGAAATTCTGCTGCAAATCTCGGTGAAGGTCACTACATCCGAGAACAAGATTGATACGCTATCGAACATCTGCAGATGAACACGACCACATCTTTATACTTTCGTCTATGGACTGCGCTCTTCTCATCTCAATGTTTTCATACGGATGAGTCGAAGATCTTTTGTTAATGTTTTTGTTCGTTGCAGAGTAATTGTAAAGAAAATTACCAGTTGTCATAAAAATCACTTAAAGTGGAAAATGATGGAAATCACGCGTTTGTTTTATTAGTTACAACGACATCTCAATACCTCGCAAGTATCTATCGGACTTTCACCGTTTCTCAAACGGTCTGCGACCTGTTTGGGAATCATTTGGTACAACAGCTCGTCCGTACGTTTCATTTCGTCGTCCAATTTCCTCATTGATTCCTCCAGCTTTTTACTTTTGAGTTGTTCTTGATCTAATGCCAGCTTCAGTTCTACGGACTGTTGAGTTCCAGCGAGCATAAGGTCTCTGATAAGAATATAGTATATGAAATATAAATATATAAGATTCAAATATAACATGATAAAGACTGCAGTTGTCAATCGTGTTTGTTCGATTGACACTGAATATTATCGTTAACAGAAATGAATGTTAAGACAATTATTAACTTGCAACCACTAAAATGGTCTTGAAAATAAACTTTCTTCCGCGAACTATGTTTAATTACTGAAGGAAGGAGGATATCAAAGTGAGTATGCTGACCGCATTCTCCTGAGTGTTTGAATTTTCTTCTGTAATTTACTTTCTATCTATTGTTCATGCTATTTAATAATGATGTAAAATCCAACCTGTCTCGAAGAAAACGGATCTTTATATCTGAACATTCATTATTTTAGAATACAACAATTTTTTACCGACTGAAATCGTGCATCGATAGATCATTTATGTAAAGGCCTGTCGCTATCAAAGCGTTCAGATCGGGCATGACGGGTGTGCCAAGGTACATCATCATTTTCCAGTTGTCCATATATATCATTTGACCTGGAAAGTGTGTCATTGAAACAAGCAGGTTAATATCTATCATTACAATCTAGCTAAATAATCTAATAAAAAGAAAAACTAATAAAAAGAGAGAACTAGTATAAAGGATAACTGTACCTTTTAGCCGTAGAGTTTTGTCTTCTACAGTTTCGAGCTCGTCACTTAAGAGAATTTCGTTTCTGTGCCGATCATTCAATCGTTCTGTAAGCACTGGCTCGACCGTGACCAACTCGAAAATATTGTTCGTTCGGTTTAATATCTAAATCGCACAAAATAAGCTATTAATTTTGATCGAAATAGTGTAAGATAAAACGTTAACTGCACAGGATGGATATCTCAAGTGAAGGGATGTATCTCGAACTAACCGATTGAAACTTGAACGCGATAAGAGGTCTAACCAGATCGAAGAAATATGTGATCTTCTTGCTCACAAGATCTGGTAGTATGACCATTAATGAATTGCCAATGCTCCTGACCACCATATCCGAACTGAAATTCATTGATTGCACAGATTTTGTATCATATTAATAAGTGCAATAAGTGCACAGATTTGTTATCATATCAATAAGTGTATACTTTACTGACAATGTTAAGTCGTTTTGATTATTAGGCACACACCCGAAGACTATGCAGAAAGGAAATATCTCGAAGAGGACGCACGCGCCGATCGGTAGATGCTTCTCTTCACGGGTCATCGCGAGCGAGGCAAGTGTGAAGGCTCGATTATCAAAGGTGAGTTGAAAAGTCACGTGCACGGTGTCGAATAGCACCTCCTCGCGCACCAGCTCAATCTGCAACTCCTTGTGATAAAAGTGCCGTGCGACTTCCCTTATCTGACCCATCGTATAGTACACGAAGCCACGGCGTTTGCTTCGGTAGTGAAGAGTTAAACCTACGCATCCGTCAGTCCAACGCATAAAAATTCATAATAATGTGATATTATTAAGAAATAACAAACGTGCATATGTATTCGAATAATTGCTGACTATGCGAGGACGGGGGAGGGGCGAAGCAGGGGCAGATAGAGCGCGAAAAGAAAAGAATCTCACCTTGTCGAGTTTCGTTCTCGCAGATAAACGAAGGCGCTCGCATTCGTGGATAGGAGAATTTCAGGTATTCGTGAAGATTGTCCAGACCGTTGAGGAAATCCCTCACGTGACGTCCGAGGACCGAGAGCACGCGATCGTAACCGTACTGGCCGACGAATCCTACAAAGTGCACGCCCATCTGGTCGAAGAACTCTTTTTCCGTCACACCGAGCACCTGATGAAGCGGGCATATTCGCATATTAACGACTGTCCTTTTCTGAGAGGTCTCACTTGAAGCTATCTTACGGCACTTTAAAGTATTCTCTATTAAAATCGCATCGCGTATCATTTAGCGTAAGAGACGATCGTATATTCTGATAAAGAGAACGACAAGGAAGACAAAGCATTACTTTAACCGTACCTGAATCGCTTTCTTCGCTAGCCTTGGTATCAAATTCTCCGGATAGACCTGGTGAACGCTGAAACTCGGCTGGTCCACTGACGCCTGCCTACGGATCTCCTCCCATCTGTCCTCGCCGTAAACCTGCCTTATGTATTCGGCCAGATTTTCCAGGATTAGTCCGTACATGTTTCTTCAGATGAGTCCTAGCGTCTGGCGAGAACAAATCAAGCGTTTCGTTGGTAGTTCAGTCATACATTTGCAATCCATGATAAGGCAGTCTGACAATACTTCAATTGATTAAAGTTAAGATCCAATTCTTTATTCTTAATCAAATATATATTATCTTGATTATATATATTTCTTTTTTTTGCAAATATAGAACGCTGTGTGCACAAATATAAATAAAAGTGAGTGTAAAAAAGGGATGTGGAGCGATTAAATTAATTTAAAACTACAAACTTGAGTATGAACAAACTGAACGATAGGATTACGCAAACGTGACAGAACATATCTTTTTGAACACGCATTTAAAAATGTATCTAATAAACATTAAGATGTTTATAACGACCAGCGCATGCGATCTTTTGGATTTTTCGATACTTCGCGATACTCATCGTGTATCCTGATCACGATGATTACTGACCCCGCTCACTAAAAGAATGGCGCGCTCGTGTGCGCGCGGGGTTTTATCTGAATTAAAATCAACTTCCCATATAGGTAAGAGCGTGGTTATTATTGGACTGTTCGCCAATTCGCTCACGTACGTCGGTTTGCTGACGACCCTGCGCCGCTAATTTAATTAAGACACTTCAACAACACAATATATTCTTGGGCCTCGGTTATTCGCAAGTCAAAAATGCATCCTTAACGTTGTGGCATTTAAAAACCTCATGACGACTGATGTTTGATTATTTTTAATGATTTCAAGTAATTCACGACACTCCTTCCTAACTGTTTCTCTCGGCAGAAACGACGTGAAATGCCTCAAACGGCGAGTAACTTTAAAATTATGGTTGAATTATGGTTAAATTTGTTTTGCACGCTTTCGTGCTGAAAGCATTATCCTATTTTCCTTCAGTATATAATAATGAACGATAAAAGTAGAATGATACTTACAGCACGAAAGCGTGCGAAACGAACTTAGCTTATGAATAATGATTCGTTTTTCTCCAAACACAATTGCGAGAGAGACAACGCGATAAAATCACCTACTCTGCTAGGTGGGTTTGTCCTTCGCTTTAACGATCCAATAATATCACACAAAGGGACACCGCTTCGATCCCTTGTTTTCGCTCTACTTTACCATATTTAAATAATAAATCTTTAATTACACCGAAATATTCTATATACAAGTTCGAGAGAAGGATCCGGCGAATATCCTATGGATGTCGTGCGTCATGAGAGACAGTTTGCGCGACCGCATCCGCACTTCTATTTATATGAAGCACTTTCAGCAAAACAGAGTCACTAGAAAAATATCCTGAAATAAACGATCGAATGAGTCGCAATCACTTTACTGATTCTGTGCCGATTAAAGATGCATTTTACAAAATGCATCTTCACGATGTATGAACGATAAAAAAAACAGCAATACTTAACTCGTTAACAATCACGTTTGTCCTATTTTTGGGGCAAAAATATGAATATCATAAATAAGGTGGTATTGATATTAAACCAAAATAATCTTTCTCTAAATTTCTAAAAACTCAATTTCTCAGCTATATTTATGAAAACAATTTAATGATTATAATCCGAGATAATTTAATAATTATTGATCCGAGACTTTCATAGCTTTCAAATATCATTTAGAAATTTCAAATTTTATTTGAAATTTTATTTGAATAGATGAAAACGATGTATATAATAAATTAAAATTTAATCATTTTAAAAAAGTTTTCTGCGCGTAGCCTACTCACGGTCTGCAAACAACGATCTCATGTGTTTTGTTATATTATTTCGATATTTAGCCGATTATTCGTCGTGCATAATTTTAATTGGAATTACCTATTGCAGTCTCGACAGCCCGATATATCTTCGGCGAATACTTGTTTGAGGGTGAAGACACGCTCTTCCGGAGCTGCAACTGCCGCAGCGGGATTTTCAAGGATACACTGGCGGAACCGACTACAGATCACCGCTGAGTACCAGCATATAGCACATTTCGCGAAACGCAGAATCACGTGTCCGATGGCACAGTGCCGTGTACGGGATAATCGGAGGGATTCGATACAATCTCCCACCAGTCTTCTGCAAATTTTCAGCCTCGTTCACCTCCCCACTTCCTTCTTCCCTCCTTACGATCCCTCTTCCTTCGTCCCATCTCTATCCCTCGATCTATTTAGGCTACTCTAGGGGCGATCCCTCCTTGCCGAGTACGCACGTTTCTGTCGTTTCCGCCCCCTTTTGCTCTCTCGTACCTGTAATCAGGGTCGGTTTTTCATTAAGCATCAAAATTCTTCAGACGCAAAATGTGTAAGAAGAAAAATTAGAAGGAAGATAATAAAGTATTCCTAAGAACTTTCTTATTGGAGAGAGAGCGGAGAGTTTATATATTTTTGATTTGAGATCATAAAAACGGGTATTCTTGGCGTACAGATCAGATACTAGAAAATTGAAAGCACCTGTATCACTTTTTTAAATAGTATTTAACATTGAAAATTTCTATACTTCTCTCTAATTATTATATTTTTATAGTAACTTTTTATCAAGAAAATACTCAAGTAGTTAATTTCTCAGAAAAAATTAACTGCACAAACTAAGTAAAAAATTCGCTATTTATAGAATTTAGTATTTATAACTAGTGGGTAAAGATTAAATAAAACGAGAAAGAATATCATTTTTTAAATGGAATACAATTTTCAAAAAATATCATGATATGTTAGGACTGAGATTCGACCCTGCAATTTACCTGGTTTTCTTGTAGCTGTTAGCTAATAAGATCCTAAAGTATCTGCCTCGTGCGGTTCTATAATGGAATACGCTTATAATTGTCCGGCTGGTTAGCTGTTTCAGTTAATTAGGTTGAGTTGTCGGGACGTGATCACGGTTTATACTACACAGTCACAAATTGGTATTGCGTTTAATCGGGTAGGTACGATCGAAAGCTCGCTCCACATTTACCGGTGAGTTGTTTACTCATTATTAAGCATCATAAGTCTAGTTAAATTTTTATACCATCGTATACATATATACATGTACATATATATGTATAAAAAATATATACATGTATAAAAAATATATATATATATAAAATATATATATATATATATATATATATATATATATATATATATAATATTCATATATACAGTCAATATAATCTGATTAATACAGTTAAAATAGTACGATTAACAAAGTAAAAATGATACGTAAAGAAAAATATCTTGAATAATAACGACTATGATACTCTCGTTCGCACATAAAATAAATGTAAAAAAAAGATGTAAGTACAAAATATACTTATAAACGTATATTTTTTTTTTTATATCTGCAAGTTATCAATCGTGCAGTGGATTTATGAAATTTAAGACTAAAAATTTCACTCAACATTTCCCGATTTTTCTCTTTCCACTAATATATTTCTAAGAAAAAATGCCAGTGAGTCGGATAATTTTTGATCAACGAGCTGTACATAGCTTTACAGCGATGAATATCGTAATTAGCATACCGTTACGGCGGTGAGAGTAAGGGAAGAGCGGAACCTTGAAGGATGCAGCAGGTGTTACAACAGGTAAATCGCGACCCACACAGAGAGCCTACACGCTTATACTGACTCGGCGCGAGTGCACTGTGTGTGAGGAACACAAACAGCTAGCAACCGCGGGACGCACACTCGCGGGATCAATCTGCGAGCGAGAGAGCACGTGCGGGAGTATCAATTGCGCGGATGCGCGCGGCTTTTCTCTCCCCACGGGCGGTTGGCCGGGCGGATCGAACGACGAGGGTGGCTTATACACGCGAAAGACAGTTCCCTGAAGAAGCCAATAAGGAGTGTCAGGATATATACGGAAAGTTGCGCCCAGTTGTATGAAACCGCCGTATGTTTCATGTCTCGCTGTTCCGTATTTCTCCTTAAACAGCACAGTTAAACCTGCAAGAAAAAAAATTATTCTTATTACGAAAATAGAGAATCCTACAGAAGGTATCAATAAAAAATGTTACTTTGAAAAGTACATTATCTATTAAAAGCATTATACTATAAAATTGCATTGTAAGCATACGAATAACGAATAATTATAATAATAATAATGATAATATAGTAATAGATTTCATTATCTAATTGAAGCAACTCTTCTCTGTGAATTCCTGTTTGCAATGCAAATAAAGTCGATTTCCCGGAATAATAGATAATATCAAAACTATAAACTCCCATCATGATTGCGGAAAACAAGTGACAAAGTAACGATTCGTGATTAGATAACATAATAAAATCGTTCACCATAATCTTCCTTTCAAAGTGACGGCCGATTTTAAAGATTCTATTTTAGTTGTATATTTGGCCAAGACAAAGACGTAGAAGTTTTTAATCCAAGCTATTCTTTGTGTTTTAAACATAAATTTAATTTTAGTATTTTACTGCTGAAAATATATTTTCAAATTTAATTTAATTTACATATTTTTTAAAAAGCATATATAATTGTGTCAATTATGACAATTATATTATAATTCTAAATTTTAATTACTTACTCAATATGATGTCGGATTTTGTACCAAGAATTCAAATAAATCGCTCCTTCTTCTGAAGGATTTCTTGTGAAAATAGAGTTTCACAAAACTTTGTTTTCTATAAAATCTTCACAAAAAATGGTCAAAATTCACTATTTACATCACGAATTCACACTAAATTGATAGTTTTTAATGTCTATAAATGCAATAATAAAATCAACAAAATCCTATTTATTATTAATTTTTCTATCGATCATTATTAAATTGTAAGGATATGGAATTTTTTATTACACTCTGTGACCTTTTACGTTAAAATTTGACTGAAATGCTGCGGTGAATTCATCGAAACAAATACACTTTTTGGAATTATAAATTTTATGATAATGTTAATTATTGTAATAAACGAAGAGAAGCTTGGCGAATCATGACGTGAGGTCGACGTCTTCGTTGAACGATCGCTACTGACCGAAATCTGCGATATTATCAAACACGAGGCCAGCGTTTCCTGCTGCTCGACGTCAAACTTGACGTTACGCGCGTCAATGAGACAATAAGCCATTACAACTACTGCTTACTAATGAGTTACACTAAGGCTACTGGGTAAAGTGACGAGACGCATCAGTAGTGCATAGACACGTTCATACATTTTATAGATATACAGAAGGGGGGGGGGAGGGAGAGAAGGAATCTAAAAAAAGTTCCTTAAATGTTTTCCATTTCTCAGATGCGTCTGTGAAAAAATAAAATTATATTCAATCTAAGTATACAGATATAACTGAAAATACATATTGGTTTCAAGAATCAAAGCATATATTATTTTGTACTCATATATGAATTTGCTCTCTTAAATTTGATTATGTAGAAGGAAGTGTTTATATCTTTTAAAAAGAACCTCTTCTAAGAAGTTTATATATTCTGACCAATTATATTTTTATTATATATTCTAACCATTATTAATTCTACTTTTTGTAATAGTTACTTTTTGTTCCTTTCATCAGTTAAATGAATATCCTTTTGAATATATCTTACAATAGAACAAAATTTCTGTGAAAATACTGACTGGAAGATTAAGACATACATAATTTCTTATAATAACGAAATTGCATAAATAATTTCGCATATCTTATTATAAAATATATAAATTTTATGAAAATCTTGTGAAAATATACACATTTTATAAAAATTAAGAAAATATAGCACCCTTTATAACTATTCTTTTTAGTACTTTCGATATGATACACACACATATGTATGCACGCACATACACACACATATAGTCTTCTTTCTCTCTCTATTTATATACATATATATTATTTTTCTAGTGAGCAATTAATGCACGACAGCTCAATTTTTACCTTTTTTCATTTTACTCTGAGGAATTCTCCTTTTCAGTGAAATCATTGGTAGTACTTCCCTTAAGAATTTTAGAGATCTATATATAATATAAATACAAAGCTAATTAATTCAACAAGACGACGAATCTGTCGCGAACTCATAAGAAAATAATATACTTACCAACTTAAATGGTTTCACTTTTGCAAGGAACTTGTTGCTTTCTTTGAGAGGACTCTGTGGTCTTTTTTCAGCGCTTTTTGGACGGATAGGAGAGTATCGTTGATAGCTTGTTAAACTTTTGTTCAAATACTGCGGAGATTGTTGATGATGGCTGCTCATATCGAGTGAACAATTAAGTTTTCTCGGCGGCGTACGGTACTTCGGAATACCGGATGAATCCGCTCGCTGACGTTTAGGTGTGCATATTTTCGCAGGCGGTAGCTGAATAGATCTAAAATATAAACGACTCATATGCATTGTTACACGATTTCATAATATGCAAACTTTTATTTCTTTGCTTCCAACAAATTGCAATTAAAAATGTTTTTAAAAGTATCGTAGTCAGATCTGCTCATTTATGCTAACACGCGAATGAATATATTATCTTATGTTATTAATCTCGCCTAGTTCGCTTACCTTCTAGGACTACCTCTCTCCTGCGTACTCACTGGTGAAATGTCGCAAGAGAAGTTACGTTTTTTATCAGTGGACTTTAACTGCGTTTTCAATGTTTCCTCCGTTTGATCACTCGACGTTGACGAGGTCATCGAATTAGGAGTGCTGCTGATTATTTTACTGCCGAAAGAAGCGGTGGTGTTGGACTTGGGTGGCGTGATGACTTGAGAAGACGGTGCTGTTCGTTTCCCAAGCGATACTGCATTGTTGACATATCAACAATTATATAAATTGTTCTCGCAGTTAGAAATTATAAATTATGTTAATAATGATAAATTAACATATAAGATAACTCTTGGAGGCCAGATGTAAGAGATATAAAAAGATAAGAAAGGTAGGGGAGAGACATAGTTATTTGAAAGAGAGCAGCTTAGTTAAGATGAGGTCAGGAGCGAAGGTAAGAGCGCTTGTTAAGCTAAAATGTGGTAATATGGAGTTAAAGAATAAATATTGGTTGGAGGAGGAAGATAGGAAATATGTATTGTGCTGCAAGGATCAGAATGAGGCATTACATGCATACTTGTGAGGTAGGAAGAAGATGGTTCGAGGAAATGGACAGGATGGGAGAAAGAGGAAGGGAGAGGATATGGAATGATGAATTAGATGCAATAAAAGGAAAGGTTTTAAGGAAGATGTGAAAGAGAGGGAGAAGAAGATAAAAGAAATAGCGAATAAGGTTTAGATAGGAGAGTATAGAAAGATAAAAATTTTTAAGAGTTTTGAGTGATATAAAGAAGGTAGAGAGAAGGTATTTTTAAGGTAATGATAAGGTAATGGTATGTACAAGGTATACTGGTACTAGGAAGTAAGTCAGATAAGCAAATTGCGCAAAATGGTATTAAAATATAGGTATTAAAGGATATGTATTTTTAAAAGACATATATATGTATATAAATGGTATAAATACATAGTAATGTACGAAAGCGATAAAGAATGGTAATATTATAAATGTATGTATAAATAATAGAGAAGTCAGGGAAATCAAATTAAATCTAGTCAAGAGCTGCGATAGTTTATGTTAAAGGAAGGGAGATATTATAGGTAAGAGATAATGTCACCAGCTGTGATAAGGCTGAGAATTTTTTTTTTTATTTTTATAGGAATAGGTTAAGGATAGGTGTAAGCGAAATAGAATAGAGGTAAGATTATAGTAAAAACGTATGGATGGATAGATAGATAAGTACAAGAAATTATAATTTTTTGTAAATCAAGTCTCCTTCTTGTCTATGTAGCTGAACGGTAATAAAATACTACTATATAAAATAACTCGTCAACCAATCCAAGTGATTCCTTTGAATAATAAATTGTTGGCAGATTGAACTTACCTTTTTTTTGTACACTGCTTACAGAATGCATTGCTTTCATAGGGCCTCTTTTATTAACTATATCTGACTTTTTCTTTAACTTCTTTTTTATATCAATTATTGCTAATGGTTCTTCATTCTTGTCATTGAGATCTACGGCCTCCGCTAAAATATACGTGCATATATTTTCAATTATTTCTATTTGAAAGAAACAAATAATGCATATCTGATAAGATAAACCACCTATTCTCATATTAGACGCTCCTGAAACCTTATTATTTGCCACAGTATTGATAAATCCGGGTTGATTCGAGAAATGTTTCTCATTTTTCAATCCTGATGTGTTTTTACGTTTTGCTTTTACTTGCGTGTTCGACGTATTTGCGTTTGATGAATGCATCGTAGATATGCTTCTTCGACTCGTTTTTTCAAGTTGCTACGAAAATATATAAATAAGAGGCAAGATAACAATTATAACAAATAATAGAGATTTATTTACTTTAAATTTTAAATTAATGTCTTGTTTCTGCGTAGACTCTGTTACATCGACTAGATGTACGTTGTGTTCAGGTTCTAAAGCCATAATTCGTTCGGTATTACATGACTTATCATCCCTCTGCAATTTCTCTTCACTTTTACAATTATTAGATGCTATATTCAACGCCTTTCCTATGCTTTTAAGTAATCGCAAAATTGTGGCATCCTCAGCTTGACCACTCAACAATTTGGCAAGATTAACCAACAATTCTACTGCTAGCTGTTCGTCGGTATCTTTCTTGTTAGTCAAACTGGTACTTAATTCTATTTTAGGTGAAATTATAATATTAACAGGATCTTCATTATTATTACAAGGTGAACTTTTGGCTAATGAATTATCGTTGCTGACAGTTGCAGCTTGTGACATATCTTCCGATTTATGATTTATATGCTGCAGTAAACTTTTTTTATCACAGATTTTTTCCTCACACGATAGTTCTCTATTTTCTTCCTGGTTCTTACTGATATATACACTTGTCTTATCTGATTGTTTGCTTTTGTTTAATTTATCTTCAGTCATTTCAAAAATTTGTAATTCGTTCGATACATTCAAACTTGCTAACAGCTCTGTATTATTTTTATATCTTACGCCCAAAACACTCTCTAGATTATCAATTAACTTACTCGCTTCCGAGTTATTTTCTGCTTCCACTAATTTCTTTAGATCTGATAATAATGTAGCTACCATTGTCTGCTTAACACTAGGAACACAATCAGTAAATTGCGATTCTATATTTTTCATAAAATTTTCTCCTGCATTATTAATACTTGCAGGAGATTGTTTCAAATCGTTTTTTTTATCGTCCTTTACGTTTTTCTTCGGCGAAACAAGAAATTCAATTAAATTATCTACAGCTTCGTCCTCAAATGCTGGTAGTAATTCTCTTATCCATAGAGTATCATTTGAAAGTAGATCATCCGTACTAGCTGATAAAGGAAAAGAAAAATAATAACACAAGTATGAGTAATAATTTACTATAAAACTTATACACATTTTTACACAATATAATAAATATAAAATACTTACATACAGAATCTGTTCTTACAGTTAGATCTTCAAAAATTCTTGAGAGTTCTTTAGCTTCATTTAGTATTAACTTGTCAGCTTTGCTATTATCCTGTATTTAATTTTAGTTGTTTGTGTTATTATGAAATAGTCTTTTTAAAATAAATCTTTTTAAAATTTCCTTTTTTAGTATAATAATGATATTCTCTATTTTATGTAATTACCAATCAATTTTTGTGATATTAAATGCAATAAGAAATTGATAAACTATACAGAACATTAATGGTATAAAAATTTACAAAACATTAATGGTATAAAAATTTACAAAACATTAATGATAAAAATCTTACAATAAATACAGAATCCGAAGAATTAGTAGAATTTGTGCTTTTATTATGCTCTTTGTTGGAACTCTGTTCTAGAAAAAATATATCAATATCTATCAATTTATTGTCCATAGTTGGTTTGCCATCCTCCCCTTTCATAGAATTAGATTGACTAATCTCTTCCTTAAAACTCGAGGTATTGGCTGTTCTATTAATAGCATAACTTAATGTACGTCTTTCTGTTAAATCAGATAAGTTGTATTGGATTGATTTCATTTCTGTAGAATTCTCAGCTGTATTTATCCTCTCATTATTCATTTTCATAGAATCATTATCCAAGAAAGCACAATGATTCACAATGCTATTTGGTAATATCGGCAAAAGATTTGATGTTGAGACAGAATCCGATCTTGCCATAGAAGAAACATCTGATGAATCAGTAAATACAGACTGTTGACTCTGGCTACTTTTCAAAAAACCTGTGTTCAAACAGGACAACATAGTGCTATCACTTTGTGAAGATATTCTCAAGGTATCTGTCATGGACTGTGATCTTTTATCTAGACTCTGTGATTCAGTCAGTGATTTTCTATTTTGTGATAATGAGTGATGAAGATCAAAATATGATTTGCGAGTTGAATTTTTAGGAAGAACAAATTCATTGAACAGGGAATCTTTCTCTGAAAAAATTAATATTTCATTATTTTCTTTATGCTTATGACCTTTGATAATATATAGTTTATTATAGATATTAAATTGACCTAAAACTGATAATTTAAGCATGCCTACATTCATAATAATTATTTTGTTACTTTGCTTAGGGACTAATTTCTTACCTCTTGCTACATTATTATTACAAATAGTGTTACTTGTAACAAGGTTGACAGTCTTTTCCTTCTTCTCTCCATCAATTGAACCAAATCTGTCTTCGATTAGAGATTCATCCAGTGTCTTGTTCATCTTCTTCAAAAACTTTTTTCTGCGTTTTGGAGTAAAATCATCCTTGAAAATCACTGATTCCGCTTCCAACTTTGTACTCTTATTGCTTTTGTGTTTTAAGGCTCGCTGCAACATCACCTCGAAAGGATCGCCCTTTTTTTTAACATATTCTGCAGTTTCGTGTAACACATTGTCGAACGGATTACTGCCTAAACTTTCGCATTTCTCCGTTATTGATGAGCTTGCCTGCTCGTCGGATTCAATGTTTCCGGGTACAGGAATCAGAGGTGATGATAGTTTCGAATTTATCAACCCCTTCACGTCGGGGCTATTTAAATCTATCAAATCGCACATCCTGTCGAGAGATCTTCTCGATAACCTAATAATAATAACAGTAATTTTCGCTCTAATGGTCTCTAATAAATAAAAATTCTCACTAACCGTCAAGGACACGCTCATCCAAACGTATTGTTAGTGAATTCTTTCGAATAATGCACTATCACGCGTATTCGCCAGCTATTTCCACCACGTTTTGTTGAAGTGCTTAATGAACACTAATTAACGTCGAGTTATCTTTATGATTCGATATTTGCTAGATCCCGCGAATATCACATTACGCTCGAAAAATAAGGTTCTCTGCGTTATTATTGTGATTTAATGTCATACCGAGCACACATGAAACAGTTTACGTTACAATTGCGCGATTTTTAAATTCACTCATCGGATTCATCGAGTGATGTCGCTGGGATCAAGTTGTCAAATGTCACAGCTGTTTTGAGATATTAAGTATTTGCAAAAAAGCGCTTAGATTTAGTTTGAGTCAGAAATACGTATAACCCTCTATAATTTAAATATTTAATATTCTGTTCTATCTTATCTCAAGAAGTGACCAGGTTATTTGATTTCGATCGAATTTTTCAACAAGCTAGCGAGTATATTGTTTTATAAAGTAAATATTACATTTATAAATAAATATTATATTATATATGAAGTAGATTTTACATTTCTTTAATAATGAAGAGAGATGTATATTTATTTTAAATTATGAACATTTTTAAAATTAATATTTACACTTTAGCAGAAAAGTATGAAACACATACCAATCAAAATTCGCGGCAGAAAAGCAGAAAATGTCGACTACCACCTAACTACCAACGCGAGTTTTGATTGGCTTCTGCCTTTCTGTTTCTTGGGACAGTATTCTTCAAAATTATCGCCTACGATATTTATAGCATGTTCGATTGGCTCTGGGTTATTCAGTCTACGTTTATTGATTGAACAGGTTATGGCTTCTGCACACAGGGCTGCGTTCAGATTCCCTACCCGGGTGCATTCTAATACTAAAAGTGCTATAGTATATGTAACATATACTATAGTGTTTCTAGTAATAGAATGCACCTGGGTAGGAAATCTGAACGCATCCCAGGACGCGGTAATGGTTGCCGCGCGGCAAAAGTTCGCGCAATAGCCAATCAATATGCTGCTTTCCGTAATAACCTTCTAGTTCTTACGGAAAAACAACATATTGATTGGCTGTCGCGCCGACTTCTGCCGCGTGGCAAGCATTACCGCGTCCTATGTGCAGGAGTCAATAAGATCCTTGCTTTTTTGTCATAATTTTCGAGAGACACCATATTGGTATAATTCACTTCAGGAACCATCAGGGTGCGCTGGAGGCGATTGATACAATTGTTTCGTCTCTAAAATGTCTGCCATGAATCACTTCAAGCCTCGTGAAAGTACGCCCGATGCGTGGGTGGGTTATGTGTTTTCAAAAATGTAAAAAGAGTGTGTAGGCTATTGTACAATAGTAGTAGCCGATGGTGATGAAAAAGAGACGAATTACATGATAGTGCGGTAGTTTTGCGCAGAGAATCAGCAAACAACTCGAATAGTCGCGAAAACGCCGGCGAAAGATATAAAAGTAGTGATGATGGTGAATACGCTATGGTTGTGGGCAGCTCTGACTGTGTGTACCACTCACGCTTTTAATCTGGAGCCACGAATACCTGTTATCAAAAGAGGACTGAAGGGCTCCTATTTCGGTTACTCGGTGGCCGAACATCAGGAAGTCGAGTCCTCACTATCGAAATCTACAAGCTGGTAGATATTCAGTAGTAGATTTAAAAATACAAAAACTTTAACAAAGTTTGTGGTACCTGTTGAATGCTAATATTTCATACTTTACGTTTAGTTAAGACAAATTATAACGGTTTTGTAATTATTTCTATCTTTATGGAAAATTGGCATTTAAAAAAATTAATTCAAGTTATCTTGAATTAATTCAGTTATCTTGATGTTCTAAGAAATTAATTTTTTTTGCAGGATGCTGGTAGGTGCACCACTAGACCAGAATCGACAACCAGGGACAAATAGATCAGGAGCATTATGGCAATGTCCACTGACTACTTATACAAGAGATTGTACTCAAGTCATTACCGATGGAAGATTTAGTATGTTTTTTTATATATTATTTATACACATATTTACTGTTTCTTTAATTGTATCACTGTGATAACTTGAAATGTAATATTATCAGACTATAATAATTTATTTTTTATACCATTATATTTTTATAAAATTTTATTTTTAATATTTTAATGTTAAACTATGAAGTTGTTGTATACTTTTGTTTTTTTTATGATATTGTAGTTTTAAAAGTTCTACTTTTTGTATATTAATACAGCATATGGGATAAATTACAGTGTATTATGTCCATACACAATTTAGGAATTCTTAAATTGCAGTCTCTTAAATATTTCTCAAATAATATTACATAATTTATTAACAAAAATCATATGGTATGTAAAGATATGTCATAAGAAGTTATTGTAATATCATACATCTATATCATATAATTTTGGTAAAATTAATTTTCTTGTACTATACTATTTAAAAATATTTAAAGTATCCAAATTTATAGTGATTGATCTTATATTTAATTTAACAATTTTGTGCTATGTATAATAAGATACTTTTTTGTTGAATCATGTTATGGTAAAGCAGAGGACAATATTCTAGTATACAGACCATACGAATACGAATTGTATGATTCAAGTAAGTGTGCAAACTTTTCAGCAGATTCCTTGCAGAATGAATTGAATGAAGAGTTTCACAGAGTTGATGCAGTTTGCCATCTATATTGCATATATTTTTTCTTGAATTAGAATATCCAAGAGCAAAAATATGAAAGCATGCAAAATAACATTTTTATCCTTTAAGATTTATTGCACAATCAATTTGTGTGAAAGCTTGTTTGAAATAACATAAGATAGAACAGTTATTTTGTAACAATCTACTGGTAATTCAAATAATATTAACAATAATATTATATAATTGTTCATAGCAATTTTATGTAACAGATATAGGCTAACATTTTTTACTAACATTGTTGCTCACTATTTGTTTCTTCTCATATAATGCATTTTTTATTTGCATTCATATTGCATGTTTATTGCAAAATGTAATTAACACAGTAATATTTTGCTTTCATGTGACCAAAATTATAAACAATTATTTAATTAATCAAGAAAATTATAAAATTGTTCATATTTATCTTTTTTAAAACTATACTAACGCAATGTACAAATTTCTTACTGCAAGAAAATATACATTTCCTGTGATTTATTTACTACTTATACCTATCTTATTTCAATATTGTTAACTATTTTTATACATTTTATTTATTGTTATATTTTTATATTATATCATCCATGTAAGTTTTATTTGCTCTTATTTTCAGTATTTTCAATAACAGTTTTGTTATTATGTATTGTATAACTAATAAAACGATCTGTACAACATCTAAAGATGAACTTAAGATGATTTTTTATATAAAAACTGACTATGATTACTAGCTTAGTGTGCATTATTGGCACACTAATGCATTGAATCGTAATTTGTCAATAATAATATATATGATATATATTGAATTTATCTTGAAGATATGATTATTAATGCTTTATTTTTTTCCAGGTATAGAATCAGATGATTTAGTACCACCAGGTAAAGACGAAATAAAGGATAATCAATGGCTAGGAGTTACTGTACGCAGTCAGGGAGTGGGAGGCAAAGTAATGGTGAGTCAAGACTGATAAAAACGATGTTATTATATTTTGGAAGAGAAGAAGAGTATTATAAATTCATATTACTTTGCTTCTATATATATCTTCCTTTATTAGAAAATTCTTTCATTAGAGATTCATTAACTTACTGTTTATTCCCAGGTATGTGCACACCGGCATATTGTCAAAACACTTGATTCTCGATGGGGTCAGGGCCAATGTTATATACTAACTCAAGATTTAAAGTACAACGATTTGAAAAAGCCATGTTCCGGGAAGCCTACGAACAAGTAATACTATCAATTCATACTTGATTTTTGAATACACCTCTTTTTCTAACACATCTTTTTTAACACACACTAAATATCATAAAATGCACAAACAAATTTTATATACATCTCAAAGCAGGCAATTACTATGATCCTTTTTATTTTAAATTTTGTTTTACGTCGCTCAATTAATTTTATCACGATACTTAATGTGTTAAGTTTTAACTATTGGTATAAATGTTCTCTTTCGATATTTTCAGAGCACACGAACAGTTCGGCTATTGTCAAGCCGGTACTAGCGGTTTATTAACTGTAGATGATCGCGTGTTGATTGGTACACCGGGTCCACATACTTGGAGAGGCACTGTGTATCTGTTCACTGTGTCCGACGAATTTCTGACACGGGACAATACTGTTTATAGCGCGCCGATGCAAGATTTGTCGCCCGTAAATAAATATAGCTATCTCGGTATGTATAATGCGTGCATGATAGTTTTTGAACTACAATCTCTAAACGGGGAAACTATTATTTAACGCTTCAATACAAAAAGTCGCTCAGTAAATGTTTTTCGCATTAATAATTATTAATAATTTTATTTGTAACAATTATTAATTCTTCAGAATTAGATAATTTCGTCTTCTATTTTATTTATCAAACACAAAAGATCTTTTGCACAAATCTTATCTTGATATCTTTTCTTGTGGGGATACTTTTTTTAAATTTATAAGTTTCGAAATTTAATGTGTTACAGGAATGTCTGTAGCAGTTGGAAACTTCTTTGGTAATGGTTCGGCTTATGCCGCGGGTGCGCCACGTTCTAATGGCACGGGGCAGGTAGTTTTATTTACCAAACAGGATCATATATCGGATATGGAGGTTACGCTCATTCTTGACGGCGAACAGTTTGCCTCGAGCTATGGGTACGAAATTACGTCGGCAGACGTAAACGGAGACAAGTAAGGCGATATTGCGCTTCATATATTTTATATGTTGCTATACACAGAAAAATACATACTGAATTCAAGCAAATGTTACTTGTTTCAAGTATTTTATAAGTTTATATATCCATAAATCTATCATAAATTCATCATAAGCAGCAAAATTATTTAAAATGCATTCTGGATTCTAATAAATTTAACATTCAGTCAAGAATTAAAAAAAAAAAATTCAGTTTGCTTAATATATAGAGTCAAACCAACTTTTTCTGTGCGTTCGTATGTTTTATTATTATTTGTTATTTTAGAGTAATCAATCTGTAGATCTTACAAATGTGCATTTTATTAATGCACTTTATCATTTGTTCTTTCAGAATATCTGATTTAATTGTGGCGGCGCCGTTTTATTTCAACAAAGTGGAAGGCGGTGCTGTTTATGTCTATACTGCACTGGATATATGTAAAACAATGAGGGATGACGAGAGATGTCTGCCCGTCAAGCTTGTCGGTCGTGAGGAATCGAGGTTCGTTATATTCTTATGTTACGTTACTTATATCGGTTTTAAATATATAATAGTAAATTAACGATAGGTTTGGATTTGCGCTTACCAATTTGGGCGATTTGAATAAAGATGGATATGAAGATGTGGCGATCGGCGCTCCGTACGAAGGAAAAGGAGCAGTTTACATCTATCTCGGCTCCAAGAATGGCATAATTAAAACGCCATCGCAGGTAGTAGTCTTTCTTAGTTAATATCTTTTTATCTTTTTGATTTTTATTCGTAGTAATTGTGTATATGTATTAATTATATGAATTGTTTTGTAGGTAATACATGCTGAAGACATGCCCTCGCCACTGAAAACTTTTGGTTACTCTCTAAGCGGAGGTATTGACATGGATCACAATGGTTACTCAGATCTCTTGATCGGAGCATATGAGGATGATGCGATCGTGCTTCTCCGTTCTAAGAAGATAATCGATATTTCTACGTATGTGCGTTACGAAAAGAAGGACGGAACATATCAAGATAAAATAGAGCCCATCGATCCCAATAAAATTGGATGCTTGATCGATCCTGATTCGAATCATACATGGTCAGTAATACTAATTGATTTATTATTGGATGTAGAAATCTGTAGCAATAGGTATCGACTATCAATTTATTACTAAACAGTAGTAATTATTAATTACTTGCAATTAATGAGATATGTGTACAATATTATAGTTTCTCGTTTGAGGCTTGTTGCAAAACGGAATCGCTAGTGAAAGAGGAGTCTATGCAAAACTTAAAATTGAATTATTATATCGAAGCAGAGACTTATGCTGGAGCTAAGAAATTTTCGAGGGTCTGGTTCGGTACAGATAGTAATGCTCGGCATCATTACGTTAATCGAACGGTCACTTTAGATACCACTAAACTTACACATTGTCAAAGGGAAATTGTTTATTTGAAGGTATGAAAATGTTATTGATTTTTTTACTACCAATTATATACTGGACATATTGTCTTTAACTTTACTTGTATCTTCGTAAGATATGTCTAATTATTATCGTGGATGTCTAATAGGAGAACACGCGTGATATACAATCACCTATTAAATTCCGCTTGAATTATTCTTTAATACAAGAAGAGCCGGTCATGCCTCCCGAGGGTGCTCCTCTACCCGACATAAAAAATTATCCGATACTGAATCAGCAAGAAGCCGCTCGTGTGTTCGAAGCAGTTTTTCAGAAAGACTGTGGTAACGACGACATCTGCGAAAGTGATTTGCAAGTGAAAGCTGAACTGAATTTAGCAGGTAAAGTGGTTTTTTTTTTAATAACAGAATTTACACACATTTTAATCTTTTCTTCTTCCTTTAATCCTTAATTTCATAATTTATATTTTCATAATTTTCAAACTTTTAATTAATGGTTTGTTTTTCAATATTCAACAAAATCGCCGTGTTGGAAAGGTTTGAAAAAGCTTTTTGTTACTAAAAGACACTAGAAATACATATGATTATTTTAATAATTCGAATTATTTTTTATGGGGTATCAGCTTCCTCAGTAAAACCGGACTTCTACGAGCTACTCTTAGGCGAAAGAGAGGAAATAGTGGTGGAAGTGAACGTGGCGAACATCGGTGAATCTGCGTACGAGGCTCAGCTATTCATCGTCCATTCGCAGAACTTGAACTACATAGCCAGCAAGAGCAATGACTCCGTGATCTGTAATTTACACAATGCTACCCTAGTGTCGTGTTCCATTGGCAATCCCTTTCAGAAGAATAAAACTGCGGACATACAAGTGAGATTTGATCCGAAGGGTCTCGAAGACAACGAGTCTCAGCTGGGTTTCACGATTTTCGCTAATTCTACGTCGAAGGAAGTCAAGGACAAAAAACCCACTGTGTTGCAAGCAACTGTGTTAAAGCGTGCTGAACTCTCGATTAAAGGGTAACGATTATAACGTCATTTGTGTATATGTGTGTATTGTGTATATTTGTGAATGTTTATTTTACAATAATTATACATTTTTCTACAAGAAGTTCATAATTTTCGGTGATAAAATAATATACATAGTTAATGTGTGGATAATAGTTTTTTTTATGTTAATTATATATTTTCTACAAGAAACTGTTACTCAAAGGGTTAAACAATATCGAATTAATTAATGATTTTTAGGAGTGCAAAAACTCAGTGGGCATTTTACGGTGGTCCTGTAGTTGGTGAATCTGCGATAAAGCACTTGAACGAGGTTGGACCGAAGGTGTCGCATATTTATGAGGTTTTTAATGAAGGACCGTGGAAAGTTAGTACTCTGGAAGTGCGGATTTCATGGCCTTACGAAGTGGCAAATGACAAAGCGCATGGAAAATGGCTGCTGTACATGGAAGAGTTACCAACTATTCAAGGTATTGTGAAAAGTTAGATAGATAGTGCAGGTGTAACATAAATTTAAGAAATTTTTGTACTAAATCAATATAAACTACGCATACACACACGCGCGTGCGCATATTGAGAAATTTATTACTTATTAAAATATACGTCAATACTGAAGTATTGGTGTTAAGCTAGTTTATAATTTAATAACTTTGAAATTAAAACTTTAAAATTAATTATGTAAAAAATCCAACACAACCTCTCCAATTTTAATATATTATCCAATAATATATTTAATATATCCAATAATATGTTGTCAAATAATGTAGCTTTAGGCGATGGTGAATGTACTCTGCCACCGGGACATGTAGTTAATCCATTGAAGCTGCAGGATAGTGACAACTTTGATGATATCGATAATATTTTGCAATCTTCGACTTTATCACCAATTTTGTACAATCATACTAATCACATAAGAACAACGCGAGATACAGAGAAAGTAGTCAATACGCGAACGATTATCGACAAGGATGGACATCGACATCGTGTAGTTGCAATGGTAGGTCTTAAAAAGTTTAATTTCTAATTAAAAGAGGTGTACTCTAGTGTTTCCTAGATCACGGTATTTCCTAGATCGAAAGAGGAATTCGGAGTAAACTTCTAGTGAAATGCAATCAAGTTTAGTGTATACTCGTGAATTTTAGCCAATTTAACAGACAAGCATCATTTTATTGAAATCAAGCGATATAATGAACAATGTTACGTTACAGAATTGTAAAGCCGGCACAGCAAAGTGTTTCGACATCACGTGTTACATATACAATTTGCAGAGGAAGCAAGAAGCTATCATCACTGTTAAAGCAAGGTTGTAAATGAAGATGTCTGTAAAATTTAAAATTTTTACCGATTAAGTTATATGATTAAAACATTTATTTATTTCAATGCAAAAAATTATGCGTAATGTTAATTCTATTATATCAACATTGTGTGTAATGTTAATTTTATTGTATATATCTTGATATCGAACTTCAATATTTTTGACGTTTTTAAAAAAATGACTAATTTCAGACTGTGGAATTCTACTTTGGTCGAAGATTACCCGAAAGTGGATATGGTCAAAATAGGTTCCAATGCTAGGATAGTGATACCTCCAAACGTTATAATACAGCAAGAAAACTTGAAGGACGATCACGCTATTGTAAGTATAATTTTACATAAATTGGTAAATATTTGATCTATTATAAGGATACTAAATATACGATAGAAATTTATTAATGATTTTATCATACAGGCCGAGACAATCGCTTATCCGGATTTGTTGGATCAGCAAGAAGCCGAGCCAGTGCCAGTGTGGGTAATCATTGTTGCTGTAGTAGCGGGTTTATTGTTGTTCATATTGCTTACCTTAGTATTGAGGAAACTCGGCTTCTTCAAAAGGCGACGTCCAGATCCGACTTTGTCTGGGAATCTCGAGAAGCATAATCGCGACGATAATCCCGAAAGCGAGGCGTTATTCAAGCACTGAGAAACGTGAACAATCGAAACGTCTCGAATATTTGCAACGAATTAATCATAATTACTTAATTGAAGGTACTTATGATAAAGAGAGATGCACATTTTCGTGTGTATATCTCATTTCCGATTTTATACTGCCTGAGTTTTTAAAGTGCATATTTTGCACGCGTGAGCAGCTAAATAGCACGTGAGAGTGAATAACATAGATTGTGATATTGTTGTACTAAATACGTTTTATGCGCACGCGACAAATTTTTCTCGAAGGTATTCAGCATTTCGTTGTATACTGGGCATGAATGTTTTAACATTCACATCTTATCTGAAGTTTTCCGTTTCCTAAAAGCCATCAGCTTTTTATTTTTATCTCCAGTCATTAATTATTTAAAAATTGTAGTACCTGAATATTTTTTTCCAAAATTCGTTGTTAAAGTCAAATGATGAAATGTCAGGATAGAAAGAAGACCCTGCAAGACCAGTAGCTAGATACGATACGTAAAATCGAAGTATGTTCAGTTAGTGAATGTTAAGTCATTTATGTCGCTTAATATAATGAAACAGTGATTTTTTATCAAATAGAAAAATAATTGTTATTTGTTTATGGATATTTCACTCGTGCCATTTTCGTATACATGTTGAAAAGCATTTACATAACGAAAATTAATCATTCTTGCAGTATAGATATCGTTCTGCACCTGCATTATTTTCACAAATTGAGGACACGAATCAATTTTATAACAGTCAACATGTCTGTTTCTGCAAAAGTTTCTCATTTATATTATTTTTTAGAAAATAATATAAAATTATTTTCAAATTTTCAGAAAGATAAGATCTTTCTATATTTCAATAAAAAAATATGTAAATTTAATTATTAAAATTGCGGCATGAAACGTAATGAATCAGATAATTAAATGTGTTAGTCACAAGACACAAAGTTGGTTAAAAATATATTTAAATATTTCTCTAATTTGGAAGATTAATTATTTAGACGTTTTGTCTTTGATTTCTCACACACTTTATGTGAGATGCTTCCAATTTAAATATCTTTTTATAAGTTTGATGGATAATAAATGAGAGACAGCTATTTTTTGTCATCACGTAATATAGAGAAAATCATTTTACTTATATTTACATATTTACATTATTTTTGATTTACAATTGTATATTCAGTGACTATATATAAGGTTTATACACTGTATTATATAATCAACATTTGACAAAATATTAAACTTTATAACGTTTCGTCGCGATAGGGACATGTCTGGAAAAATGTCCAGTGACCCTTAAGTAATAAGGGCGACAATATTGAATATTAAATATTTAGGAAAATAGAAAACAAATTTTTTTGCTCTGTTAAATTGATAAATAGGTACTTAAACATTCGCACAAGCTATTGTCGCCTACATTTAATCATGAGATATGAGATATCTTCAGTCATAGCATAAATATTTATGAAATTAAAGTAAAGGACTGATTTTTTTCATATAATCTGCATTTCGACGCGTTATACATATGCGAAAAGTTGAAAAGGAGACAGATTTGCACATAAATAACATATTTATAACAAGTCCGCTATATACATATAAAAGTGCAAATCTGTACAAATTTATATTCTGTACAGATCTTACAAATCTGTAAAGATGATAATGTTGCTATCTTCCTGCCAATGTTTATTATGCTGTCCTAGAAAAAAAATTTATATGTGAATATTTAATTGAATATTTAAAAAATTTTATTGCAATATTTTTATTATATTTTTCAAAGAATTTTTTTAGTAATGTTATATATATATATATATATATATACACGGTAAAGTCTATATTTATGTAGCAAATAGAATTAACATATCTTAATACATTTTATTATTAATTATGAAATAAAATTTTATTCTGATATCAGTTACATATGACTCGTAATTTTTATGTTAAATATACTAAAAGAATGTATATTGCAAGGATTCTGGATATATATAAAATAATTAAAAAATTTTAATTTCTAACTTCTTTTTAGATATGTGAAAAATATAAAATTTGTAATATCTTATAATATCTATTATAAAGATAAATCTTTTTTATAAAATGCAAAATATTATTTTTATATTAAGTGTAAGATGTATTTGGCACAAAATTAATATATTCAATAATTAGACATACACCTATAGTACTACACCCAAAAATACCTTTACCTACACCTAAATCTCTATTATTTCAAATTGATATTTTCTATCTTACCCTGATTATTTTGGAAGAAACATGGGCTTTTGTTATAACATGTAAAATTTTTTACTGCCTGTGATTGATATCTAGAAGTGATTTATAGTAATATGTTTGCAGATAGGAACAGTCTGAGATCATAAATCTATAAACAAATATGCGAAAATTAATTACGGCTAGATTTATATATACTTGAAGAAAACAGTTGCAGTTATTATAATTAACTTATATATTTGTGTATGCATATAGTTATGCGCGCACACACACACACACACACACACACACCCACACACTCATTTATATAAATATTATATTATTTTATATGTTCAATTACCTATATAACAACGGAATTAAAGGAACTGTACTAGCATGCCATAAAGAATGAGCATCAAGTATCCAAAAAATGGGTGGAAAGTCTGCCAATTCGAGCAGAGTGACAAAAACGGTCCATATATTGAACCAAGCGATTAAGTACGCATAAAATAACTTCTTACGATTAACGTACCACCATAGCATTGTTATCGTAAAAGTTGCTAAGCCTGGAAACGTATGTTTTACTCTCACAGCATAATGAATTTTCACAGAAATACCAATAGTGCTATAGAACTCACCTATTAGAATATTCAGTATCATATTATAATGGTAATTAATACTGCCCGACCATAAATGTGATAAATGTGTGCATAAGATGCTCACATATCCACAAGTTATTACAATAAATGCTTTATTATTTTTGTATGTTATCCTAAAAACGATCAAAATATTTGTTTTAAAATAATGTTAATGGATATTATCTTAGAAATGAATTGAAATACTCGCAATTCTATATTTTTTATGTATATTAATTATATTAGAAAGATGTATGAAATTAGAGTATGTTACCTCAAGAGCATGCAGTATAAGAATGTAAGTACCATACTAAATGCACAAGAATAGTCCATTGCTTCTGTAAATGGTCTGTCTCGTGAATGGAATATGGCAGACCAAAACCATCCATTTAAACATATCTATGATAAACATGATCAAAAATGCTCCATTGTTTCATAAATATATAAAAGTTTAAAAGTTATAAATCACTATATGAAGAAAGGGAGAAAGACTAATATGATTAAAATTATATATGTGTGGCAAGTACTATTGTAAAAATCATTGGATACATTTCTCTGAGAATATTATACTAATTATATATCTTATAACTAGTATAACTTTACTAGGTTTACTTTATCTAGAGTAGTATATACTTTTTACATACTCACAATACTGAAATATGTCCAAATATAAAACATAGGACTACTACTGTCTGCCTGTTTTTTAAATTTTTGAAACATCTTCCAATGGGCATAAAAATTTAATATAGAGAATAAAACAGATGCTGGTTCCTGACACCCGAACATGCGGATGAATGGCCACTGCAAGAATGAAAATAACAATAGGGATACAAAAACTACTTTCTCATTATAATTTAATATATTGAGTGAGTCAAGAGGTTCCATTGTGAAAAACAGTTAATATTTCAAGATATTTGAAAAGATTGTCATTTGCTAAAATGAGTAATATTATTTATTGAAATACAATCATAATTTTTTGACTCACACAATAGTTATTATCTTTATAAAATTGAATAGAGATTTTTAAATCTTTCTGTTTTTGCTTACTTTTCCATGAAATTGGGGTACTTTTAATCCATGAGATATAAAGAAGTCAACTGTTTTCCATGTGCAAGTATAACTACAATCTTCCTTGCAGTACCAGTTTAGCAGAATTAATGACAAAGGAGGCTGTTTCTTAAAATTTATTTCTGAAATATACATTGTCATTGATTAAAAATTGTTTTACAACTATTATATATAATGATATTGTAATAATAATTAGAATGAACAGTTCATATGTTTCTGCTGTTTATCTATGTCTATGTTTATGTTTATCTAAATATTTATAGAAAGTGTTGTCTCTTTAATTATACTATATATTTAATATTATATATAATAGTAACAGAGTCTAGACTGATTATATTTGATGTATTCAGGTAAACGAGTTAACCAATAGTAGAACTATGTAAAAAAATAGATGAAGAGAGAGGAATGGAAAATTTCTTGTCTATACAATCACGTGCAACGATTTGTCATGCAACGAGTCGTCACACGTGATTGTATAGACAGAAAACTTCTTTCTATTTCTTTGCTATTATTTTAACGTAGTCCCACCACAGATAACTAGACTGATATTTAACTTATATTTATATCAATTGTTAAAATATTGGAATACAAAACTTATAAAAATAAGAATAACACTCACACAAATACAGTAGTTACTAAATAAGAAATCTAGCATTTTTCCTATTTTTGCAAATATTATATACTTCTAAATTACTATCGATTGTTAAAAAGAAATTATGAAATTATCAGTTTTGGTTTTACATCGTTTTGACGAAGGTTATACATTGTTTCTACATCGTTTTAACAAATAGAACAACCAAATAAGCATACTTTAGCAGTCATTACCATTTTTGCAGTTGTTATTGCGACACTGTGCTAGACATTGATTATATATCTGCGACATGTCACCTATCGAACCAACCGTATTTCTGACAAAACAAGATTGAATGACTAACAGCAAAAAAACCCATACCGGCTTTGGCATATTATTAATGTCCCGAAAATTACAACCGAACTGCCTGTGATCAAGATGAATTTTGAAAAAAAAGTCTATATTCTAAGTAGAGAGAAGAACTTTAAAGGGATTACGCCGGCATTTTGCTTGATACTGACATAAACATAGGGCGCGTTCAGCGGAAAAAGCGCTCAGTGAGCAATCAACGATTATTGGTTCTTACTGTTAGGTCTCTAAATCTAGACCAATTACATTGACGAATTGCTTAACTGTGTGCTGTTGAGTTCGCTGAACGCACCCATAGGTGTGCGTTCGAAAACTCTATCTGAGTGCACTCGCTACGTTGGAGTGAGAAAGATAAAGAGAGAGATAAGGAGTGAGATAAAAGAGAGGAGAAGCATCCGGGTGGAGTTTTCGAACGCGCCTTAGTAAGTGTAGATCGAGCATTCGCCTCTTTTTGGCTATGTTCAGAAATCCAACTCGATGGATAGAGTTACTTTAATAAACCAATCATGATAAATAATCTTAGTTCTTTTTGCCCTGATTGGCTAATTAAATGTTACTCTACTCACTGAGTAAGGTTTCTGAACGCAGCCTTTGAGGAGTGAGGGTAGAGCACACGTAGAAAAGGACAGACGACAACGACCGTAGAGACCCTAGATATAAGGACCTCCACACACAATTGACATAACACTAACATAAGAACGTACCTTAAGATTGACTCATTACGATCGAATATTCATAAAAATGGCGACCTTATGGTTCGACGATTTTCAACATGATTGGTCAATTCTTACGGTATTCGTATGTACTTGACCGGAAAAAAACTCCAGTTGGAAAACTATTCTTTTAAATCGTTTGTATTTCGTATAAAGAATTTTGAAGTGCAATTGAAAAGATTTGTGAGTCATTCTATTACTTATAATTAATTATTCTTTTTTGGATCATGTATTTAGCCGGAAATAATGACCGGAGGTAAATTAAACAAAGGTTTGGAATGGTATCGTTTGTATTTCGTATGAAGAGTTATGAAGTATCATTAAAAAGGTTTGTGAGTCATCCAGATAATTTTAATTAAATATTAAAAAATCATGTATTTGGCCGAAATATCGATCTCAAGCGCTGTTGTGGAACCGTCAGGCACGATCGGTATATTATCTAGTATTTCAATATTCCTTTTTCGGGTAATTATGTACAATAATGGCTCTTTTTCGGGTAATTATGTATAATAATGGCTTTCGTACATAGAACGTGTAACACTTGCCGCGCGGCAAAAGTTCGTGTGACAGCCAATCAATATGCTGCTTTCCGTAATAACCTTTTAGCTCTCACGGAAAAACAACATATTGATTGGCTGTCGCGTGAACTTCTGCCGCGCTGCAAGCATTAACGCATCCTGTGTGCAGGAGCCATGAGACCGTATTAAACTACCGACTGCACAGGCCGACCTGACTGCCGACTACGACTGCCGACTCTCAATGGACCAATCACAGTGAGGCGCCGACTCGACTTTTTCTTGTTACCTTTCAGACGCTACAGTGTTGCAATTTTCGCTCTGCTGACAATTTTTAAACTTTCAACGAACTCCGCAAACGCTTACGTAAGTGCTAAACAAACGTTTATCAAATTTATTATTTTTGTTAGGGTTGGATTCTTCATATTTCATATAGAAATCCTGAAAAAACTAAGTATTCTATCTTTTTCTTGGAGTCTGTCATGAATAAAACATTGAAAATCTTTTGTAATCAACAGTGTATTAATGATAGGATAGTAATAATGATAAGTGTAATAATGATAAGTGTAATAATGATAAGAGAAGCAAAAAGTTCTATATATTATAGATAATTATTTTCGAACGCGGAACTTGCTGTATGATTATTATTGGACTTTGTCATCTTTGATAGATTCGTTCGATTGATATGACCTTAAGAGTTGAAGTTGCGTCGTAATGAGTTGTATAAACAGGAATAACAAAAAATCCATACTACATTATTATTGTAATGCGAAATAATATTTTTCTACGAATATATTACTTGTGCTGACGTATACAGTTCCTGTTTCTTGAAGTTTATCTCTCCATTCCAAAGGTATTGCTTATCAGTTATTACAAGTTATGTTAAGTACCATCGCAAGTGAAAGATCCCGTGCTTCTTGCTTCGTGGGAACACATATATCAATACACTGGATTCTCTAGAAATTTCACACTGATTTTTTGAAAGAATGTAAAGACCACAATTTTATGTATAAAGTACTTTTAAATTTTTCTCGTGTATATATAGTCTGACGCGAACCATATAAAATAGTGTAGATAGATTGGATAGATATATTGAAATGCTTATCCAATCTAGACTGATACTAAATTACGAGTAAAAGATAGAGCATGTCGAATATGTAGTTATTTCTAAAATGTCAGAGCTCCTTGTTCTTAAATAAACGTGCTTTATTATCACATGTGGTTTTGTATCTCTTGTGTCAAACACACTGTATATACGCTGCATTTTCTTTTCATAATCTGTTATATGGTCGACATCGGTGTTAACTTATCAACATTTCTCAAATGTTGCGTCGAAAATTTCTTTAAAACGGTAAGCGTTTAAGTTATAATGTTATCTATTTGTTCCATATAATAATTCTATGTATACGTATAGAAATTAGTATAATAATTAGCATAATTGGTATAATAAATAGTATAATAAGTAATATAATATGAAAAGACCGTGATTATGATCTGTGCACTGGAAACTGTATTTTATACTTATAACTACGTAGTGGAGTAATTATCCACACATACACACAACACAACTCTGGTGAAAATTGAAATTGGAGAGTAAATAAAGTGTAAACGAAGAGTGACAGAAGTGTAAGTGAAGCGCTTACAAAGCGTAAATTGAAACATCGGAACATAAAGCAATCCGCTGCAATGCGTTTTACTTACACTCCCGTCACTCTTTGTTTACACTTTATTTACTCTTTAATTTCAATTTTCACCAGGGAATGTCTAAAATTGAGACATAAGACGTCTTTAAAACGCCTTTTAGACATTTTATGTTCCGATTTTAGACATTGTGTGGGTATATTTGGGAAAATCTTTTATACGTGTATTGCTCTATTTCTTTTTTATTATTTCTATTACCCTGACGAAAATAAGAAATTTCATAAACGTTTGTTTAGCGTTTATGTAAGCGTTTGTGGGAGTTCGTTGAGAGTTTAAAAATTGCCAGTATAGCGGCAATGATCAATAAAATTGTAGGTATAAAGTATACAATGACTTCTATGAAAGTCTTCATAGCAATTTTATTGCGGACATACATATTGAAAGTCGATAAGTGTGTTAAAATTGAAGAAATAGAATTGAAGGCGGATCCTATGTTAGCGTCCATGAACCCTTTAAAAGTCAGAATTGAAAAGAGAAAGTGACAATACAACAATATGATATTATACCAACAGGGAAAGTGGAATGTTTTATTCATATAATTAGTTGATAAAATTTATTGTCACTTTTAATTTAGTTGGTATGTTTTGTATAGAATACTACAATATATATAAAATCAATTAAGTTGTCATAAGTAGCGTGAGGATAAATTAATATAAATGAATTATCTTTGTGATTGTAGTATCGTATTTATAAAAAGAATCCTTTTTGCATCTAAAAAGGAACTTAGAATTGGTGACATTAGCATGAATTCTTTTGGGATTCTCTCTACTATTTATGAGATATCTAAACATCATGAATTCCAAACAATTTTCAAAGTACAACGATAATCTTATAGATAGATAAACCAGTTCTACACTCTAAAACAGGGCTCGGAACAGTTTACCAATTTCGGTCGATTCTCGAGAGCTACGCCTTCTATCTTCCCTTTGCTGCGAGCGGGCCTCAGAAGTGACGGTCGAACCTCCAAGCTTGAAGCCACGACTGGCCGCGACCGTCACTTTTGAGGCCTGCTCGCGACAAAGGAGAGATAGAAAGCGTAGCTTCCGAGAATCGGCCGAAATTGGCAAACCATTTCAAGCTCTGCTCTAAAAAAAAGTACTATACTGCTCTAAAAAAGTCATTTATGAGCCATTTATATATTATTATACTAAACTTCTTCTGTAACTCGATGCGCAAGGAAAATGTAATTTTTCTACTTTTTACTCCTTCACATAGTATCGTAAACACATGAAACTGCGTAAAACTTTTATCGTGTCACTACGCATTGGTAAAAATATATATTATTAATTATAATTAGCTAACTATGAACTGTTGAAGTGTAGTTTAGTATAATGATATGTAAATGACTCATAAAAATGACTTGTTTGTCAGCAAACAGGTTAGTGATGTAAGCGGCCGTGAGCTAAGATTCCAACATTATAGTGATTATTATTGAGTGTAGAACTGACTTAGCTACTTATAAACCTTACTTATGAACAGATCGTCGTAATTCGAAAATTGCTAACTCATGATATTTATGGATGTTCCATAAAGAGCAAAGAGAATTCCAAAAGAATTCATGCTTATGTTATCAATTCTAAGTAATTTGGAGTATCCAAGTATACATAATAAGCAGTATTAGTACTATTTTGGAGCACCTATAATTAGATAAATGTTGCAGCAAAGATTTTTGTAAAAAATTATGTATTAGTATTACATGAAAACGTCCCAGTTAGCACATACCGTTTATAAACATGTGGGAAACATTTTATAAACAGTTAAGAAATAGTACATACGTTTAGAAAACGTATCTGAAACCAATATGTACTAGGAATGATATGTCTCAACTATAGATATAAAAAACAATAGATTGACGTAAGGCACAACTGATATAAGACATAACTGATTAAAAAAAGTGTTGTTTTATTCAAAATCTGAGCATTATAATATTGATACTTATCATACAATTACTTGTGTAATAAGTACTTATATGTATGTACTTGGTTAATTATATTGATTTCACTTCTTTTTTTAATTATAGCAGAAGTTCAGAAATAAAGTATCCACTGTTCAACCCTAAACTGTACTCTTTTACCGTATCCCTTACTATTAACTTTGCGATCTTGACGCTGTTATAGACGCAAAGGAGCGTAACAATATTGATGTAAATCGTTACAATATAAAATAGACCCAGTTTAATTTAATTCACATTTAACGCATTTAACGAACTGTCTTTATGAATTAATCGTATCGTTATTACACATTGTTAACACAATCTTAAATTACACATTGTTTCTACATTGAATATTTAGCCACATGCGCGAATGAGAGAGAACGCACGACCACAAAACGCAATGCATTCTTTTCTACGTGTGCACTTTACTCTACTCTTCAAATCAAGGCAAACGCTCAGTCTAAATATATCATGTCTATGCATGTGTCATAAGAAACTATAATGCGTCGGTCCTTTCAAAGGTGGCAATGCTTCCCTCACTTGTCCCCGCTTTTCCCCGCGCCATGCATTTTGTGGCACTCGCAAAGTCGGTATTAGCAGTCTAGATTATAAGGTGCTCCATTTGTGGCCACTTCAAGGAATATTTCGAATTATTTAGTCTATGATTCATGTTCGCGTTATATAAGTGGAAATATTTTGTTTTTACAGCATTTTTATTGGTCACGCTGCTTGCTAACGAATGTAGAATTTTCTTTTTTTTTTAACTAAATATTTATAACCGGAAGTAAACGAATTATTGTATTTTTTTGTGCAAAACGTTAAAGATACGAGATGAGATAAACGTTAGAATTATTATATAAAAGACATATAATTGTGAGTAAATGTTTCTATAATAGGTTTACGGAAAGTCTAAAAGTTAATCTCAATATGTAAAACCACGTATTTGATTCCTATTAAGCAAAAAATAATAAGTGTCGAAAACTAGATCATGTATTAATATAATGCTCCATTTCTGGTTATAGGGTGGCTAAAACTGATTGTTGTGTTATTCCAGTTGTGGCCAACAAAAATAACGAATGTCTTTTGTGTAAAATTATAAAATTTATGACACTACAAAATCCATATTCTGGTTTTTACTGGCCCTCACTATTGTGCTTTGAAAAATTATAAAAGTATATTACAGCTATTTGTCAGGAAACAAACTTTATATATATATATATATATATATATATATATATATATATA